TAATTTTATGGTTTTGAACATCGCATAAATAAAACTGAGATTAGAATTTATCATCAAATTGATACTCTACTTGATTATATTTCTTTCGACTTAAATTTAAGGGAAGTTAAGTTACGAATGGCAACAAGGTGGGCAATTATATTTTTGATCATCTTCACACTTAATTATGACTCCAATATATGAGACTTCTAAGGTAACAACAAATTCAGATTTTTCTTCATAATAAAAAAATGGAGCAGCAGTGGCTCTGGGGAGTAAGACCCAGATTCAAATCCAAGTGGTAGTTGGATGGTACGAATTCTGCTCGCACTGGCCACAGTACTTACGTAAAATATTCTCAGCCGTTGGCGGATCATGGGTTAGAATTCCCTTGTAGATAGCCTAACCGTAAGAGGTTTTCAGGTCAGATTAAAATTCAGAATTAGGTCAGTTGTTCAACTGCACTTATAAAATGAAATAAAATTAATAAAATCCCTGAGATGACTCATTATACTCACCAACCATAGTGCTGACATAAAATATTCATATCTAACAAATCCACATCTTTTTTTACATAGATATTTCATCCGCTGACATTAAATATCCACATGACAACAGATTTACTTCGTAGTTTTCGCAGCGAAAACATGTTGCCATAGGGTTGAAATCCGTTGAGACTTCAGATTTATTTCGTGACTTTTACAGATCAAACTTGTTTGGGTGTGATAAAAAACCATTCTGTCTACGAATTGTTTTCGGTGGTAGTTTTTAAGCAGAAAACCTGCTTGTGTGTGGTAAGAAACCATACACGATTTAGGAATTATTTCGTATCTTTCACGGTTTTGCATAACCAATCCAGCTTCTGGGTTGAAACAGTAAATTTTTCAAGATTTTTTAATTTTACATTGTACTACAAGGTCATTTAATAAAAAAAAATCAAACGCACTGATGAAAACAATTAAAAAGGGAGAAAGTTTTTTTTTCAAAAAAAAAAAAAAAATACCCAGTCTCAGGNAAAAAAAAAAAAAAAAAAAAAAAAAAAAAAAAAAAAAAAAAACTAAAATAAGTAAAGCTCTTACGTAAATAAGACATCAGATGATAACTAAGCTCTTCGCAGACACCTCTGGAAATCAGTGGCCTGCCTTTGACGTCGTAAAGGTGGTAGTGCTGCGATAAGTTTGTGTAGAGTACCTCTTTTGCTAGCCGAAGCTTGTAGCGTAAAAACGTTTGAAGCATCGTAGCTTACATCAATCCTTTTTTTAAAATTTGTTTGTTTTCCCATGGTTAGTATGGTCAATCGTCATCGTGTAGACGATGCTACAAGATTATCGAATAGTTGGAAGATTCAAGGTGGGCAAATTGCAGTCTACCTGTTGTATGGACATCAGGCATTCAGAGAAATGTTGTGTCATCATTGTGGAAACAGTTCAGAGTCAGAGGATCAGTGGCCCACTGATTAGGTCAATGCAACAGAAGGGAAACAAATCCAGCTCAAAATCGTTATATAAGACTTTTAGTCAAAAGAGATAGCGCAGCGACACAACTGTCTCTCAATCTATACAGGGTGTCCCAAAAGGTCGTTTACAAACTTAACATGCTGGTCTGTCGTATCATGATGAACAAGATTTACATAGGAACTTGTGTCCGAAAATTAAAACTGCGACCGCTGGAGGGCGATGATTGCACGAAAACGGGAGAGTGGGAAAAACAATCATTTCAGACGTGGACGTTGAAGGAGAAGGATGGATGTGTTTAGTAACGCAGAAATGGCCGACATGCATTACGTATACGGCGCCGCTGAAGGAAATGGATGAGCCGCGGCACGGACGTACCTTGAGCGCTTCCCAAACAGACGTCAGCCAAGTCATGATTTGTTTGGACGATTGCACCGCAGATTATGTGAACCAGGTGCTTTCGTAGCACGTAGCCACATCGGTCGAGAACGTGCTACACGCACACCTGTCGTAGAGGAAACCGTGCTACAGGAGTATGCCATCAACGCGCAAAGAAGTCGCGGAGAAGGCGAACGTGTCTTGGGTGTAGCTCGTTCCACCATAATGCGCATATTTCACGATGACATGCAACACCCTTACCACTTCCGAAAAGTACAGGCATTGTGCGCTGACGATTATCCCAAACGCATTGCATTCTCACGCTGGTATTTGCAACAGCGGGTCGCACAGCCAGATTTTCCATCATGGATTTTGTTTTCTGATGAATCCTGCTTTACACGGGATGGTGTCGTGAACCTGCACAACATGCACGTATGGGCGCATGAAAACCCAAGATGTACACGTGCCCATGCACATCAACAACGTTTCAGCGTAAACGTTTGGGCTGGTATTATCGGTGACATGTTGATTGGCCCTTACCTTCTACCTGAACGCCTCGACGGAAATACCTATCGCATTTTTTTAGAAAGAGTTTTGCCGGATCTGATGGGTGACGTTCCAGCCGCTACACGCCGAAACATCTGGTTTCAGCATGATGGAGCGCCTGCCCACTTTAGCTACGCTGTTCGAGAATACCTCGATAGGATTTATCCTAATCGCTGGATCGGTAGAGGCGGACCAGTCCCATGGCCGCCGCGATCCCCCGACCTGACTCCCCTGGATTTCTACCTGTGGGGACACATGAAGTCCATAGTGTACGAGACACCTGTAACATCGGACATGGATCTTATCGCCAGGATCGCGGAAGCGGCAGCACGTGTCCGTGACACTCCTGGCCAATTTGAACGGGTTCGTGAATCCATGCGCCGACGCTGTGAAACGTGCATTGTGGCGAATGGAAGGAATTTTGAGCATTTGCTGTGATGTAATGATGTTTTATAATAAAAATCATATTAACACCGCTATCGATATCATTTTTTTTCTCCTCATCCAAACCTGCACTTATCGCCCTCTAGCGGTCTCAGTTTTAATTTTCGGACAAAAGTTCCTATGTAAATCTTGTTCATCATGATATGACAGACCAGCATGTTAAGTTTGTAAACGACCTTTTGGGACACCCTGTATAATGCAACAGGAACATTCATTTTCTGGATAACGGTAGTCCACAAACTGAATGCAAGAGACCTATATGCCACGTGCTTTGTAGTCTGTATTTCCTTGACTGTAAACCACCAAAAAGACCGTCTATCATGGTGCAGAGAACACTTGTCTTGGACAGAAGATGATTGGGGGTGGGTTCACTTCAGTCGTGTCCACATCTGGAGAGAACACGAGAGTCAATATCTGACCTCTAAAATTGTCGAAAAGAACTATTATAGTTGAGTTGGTCTGATGGTCTGCTCAGGCATCATGGCTGATGGGCATACCGACCTTTAGTTGTTTTATAGAGGCACTCTGACCTGTCAGCTATATAGAGACAAGATTCTTACACCCTAAGTAAGACTTTTTCGTGGAGCATGTGGACCAAATTTCATCCTAATAGCAGTTCCTCAGTTAGTGGGTGAATTGTTCCAATCAGAAGATATTTGGCAGTTGGAGTGGTCTGTTATGTCCCTTGGCCTTAATACATGGGAAGCTCTTGGGAGCTCATTTGCAATGCAAAGACCAGTTCCAACAACCATTGATGAGCTATAGGGCGTCTTCTTGCAAAAGTTAATAGAGTTGTCACATGGATTGATAAGAGCCCTATTAAACATTATGGAACAAAGATTCGAAAATTGTGTAGCTATTATAGGTGATCATACATCCTATTAGATGTGTTTTACTCTGATTGACAGGGTGTCGGTCAGCTGCTGAGCTGAATAAGTGATCAGTTTCTTATGTAGAGTACCGATCATTATTTACATCTTCAGATAGTCTATCATTGTCCTTATCATAACGAAACTCAAGAAGGAGTAGAGTAAAGAAGAATTAGTATTTAGTATTGATTTTAAAATGTAATGCAATAAATTAGCTACCCGTTTATTTGCTATTCTTCTTCTATTATTGTCGTTGTAACGAAACTTAAGATGGAGTAGGATTTAGTATTGATTTTAAAATGTAATGCAATAAATTAACTATGCGTTTATCTGCTATTCTTCTTCTATTATTGTCGTTGTAACAAAATTTAAGAAGGAGTAGAGTAATGAAGAATTAATATTTAGCATTGATTTTGAAATGTAATGCAATAAATTAGCTATGCGTTTATTTGATATTCTTCTTCTATTATTGTCGTTGTAGCGAAACTTAAGATGGAGTAGACTAAGGATGGAGTAGTATTTAGTGTTGAGTATGGAATGCGCAAAACATTTGTAATATGATTTGTGTTTCTTCGTCTGTTAATGTCTTTATCATAACGAAACTTTCGAAGGAATGGGGTAAAGATAGAATGGTAATTTGTGTTGACTATAAAATGCACAATAAATATGCTAAGCGAGTTATTGCTATTCTATTATTGTCCTTATCAGATAAAACTTTAGAAGGAGTAGCGTAAATAAGGATTAGTATTGAGTTTAAAATGCGCGATAAATTTGCTATGATATATTTCGCTATTCTTCGTTCATTAATGCCTCTATCATAACGAAACTTCAGAAGGAGTGGAATAAAAAAGGAATGATATTTAGTGTTGAATATGAAAATGCTCATTTGTGCTTTAAAAACGATACATATCGTAAATATAGTTATTGAACTTTTAATATATTTATCTGTTTTATACACTGTTTAAATTTTAAGACGCGTCAAATCATGTTGTAAGTTTTGCAATAATGTTTTCACTTTTCGAAGAATTGCCTTATTATTTATATAATATAAATTACTCTTTTTAAACGCAGCTAAATTTGAGCAAAAGCGTGGTTCAATTTAACACCTCATTCTAACAAATTTACTCTATATCCTCCTTTCGTGTTCCAAGTTGAACTCATTTTTTCAAAAGTGTATCACCATACTTATTTTCTTGTTGAGTTTTTATTTATCAAATAGCATTCCAAAATTTATAAGTTGTTATTTATACATTATAGCTGTTCTAAAATTATATTATGAATCGAAATGCCTTCAAAATTATTTATTTTTAACTTCGATATTTTGTTTCAGAGGATTTGTCAAATAGTGTGAGTATATGTCCAGAAATCAGGCCGGGTGAAGATGATCTTCCAGGTATTTATGATATATGATATTTTAAAGTATATTTTTTTGATCAAATGTCATCTAAATTATGTCTTTTTATTTATTTGCTATGAGGATAACTAATATCCTTTTATATTTCGCGTAATATGAAACAGCAAATTAACAAATTAAATATTTTACTTCATTTTTATTATCACCCTTTTGCGTTTGTAAAGATGAAGACTTTTAATCGAAGTTCCGACCATTTTCCAAATAACTCAAATTTAATCTTTATACCTGATATTAATGCAACCTTTAATCGTTTCTTGATCGACCAGAAGTTTAATTTATCTACTAACAATCATAATCAACATCTACCTTCACCAATAATCCCTATATTTTTAGAAAAATTATTCAATATACGATTCTTCATTTTTGCTCTAATATGAATTAAATGATTTTTCCCGGTTTGGCTGTTTAGTTCATTTGAAAACCATAGTTTTTAATTTTTATATAGAAATATAAGAATATAGAGAATTATAAAATCATAGAGAATTATAAAAATAGTGAGAATTATTAAAATATTTATGCATAGTTTTTAGTGATTCATATTTATGCTTATTTTAATTTTGTATATTTATGATAGGATTTACTGAAATAAATTATTCGCATTGCAATCAATTATATTTATTTTTTGAGTCCCACAAAATATGTATTTCGGGCTGAAATAATATTGAATAATTACTACTTTTTTTTAAACTTAAGTTGCACACTCAAACTGATATAGCATTTTATGGTCTGAAGTAAAATGTTTTTTGTTAGTTAGTTATGATTATTAAATTTATGAAGCATTCGTACGGTACTAATTATACAACATGTTTAAGAGTTTTTATCAAAAATAATTAACACTAGAAAGACGGAAAATTAGTATATACCTATATTGCCGAAAAGCAGTCAAAATGACTAGATGGTGAATGCGTCAATAAATTTGTTTAAAATTAATTTTTAGCATTTTTTATATTATTTACAGTTCTGTAACAAGTTATTAGTAAATATTAACAATAAAAAAATTATATGTTGTTCAAAAAGTCACAAAACTCTAAGAAATTATGTCATTGTATACATCATTGTTTTTCTAATTGAAATTAAAAGCAGTCAAAATGACTTCCTTAGGCAATCTAGTGTTAACAAATACATTTACGTTATTTTAGATTAAAATATGACAATATTTTTACTTTCCTAATTTTTTGACCCCGTCCAAATTTTGCAGATATGATTCTGTCAAAAAAAAAAGACAATAAAACTATTATAATAAGTTTTGAATTGATTTGTCTGCAACATAAAGATTTCTTTTTAATTTGTTCATAAATTGTTTTTAATTAGGTGCATCTACTTTTTCAACCAATGAAAAGAACATATTTTTCTGTAGACGAATTGTTAAATCAAAAGATGAAAGCAAAATTGTTAATTTACGTGAACTCAATGTACGATACTTAGAATCAATTTTATCCGGTATTTGACCTCAAGAACACGTTCATGGAACATATGGCATTGCTTTTATTTATATATTTCTTAACCTATTACTAGTTCCTGTTTATTAGTATTAGTATTTTTAACTAATTACCGATATAATAATAATTGTTTGTAGCTTTAATAAGGTGCTACGTGGAGCATCATTATTGTGTGAACTGATATTTCTTTAGTTTGAATACAGAAGACTTGAACGGGAATATGATCTAATTTAACAAAAGTCTATGGATTAAAATATAAAGTTGAACTTTTATTATAGGGTTAGTTAATCTTTCGTAAGACTGAATAAAGAAAACAATGATTATGTTTGATCGGGAATTTTGAACACGTGAACATCTAAACTGTTCTTTCTTAAATTTGAATACAAAAGACAATGCTGCTATTAGGATAAGGATCCATTAGGATTAGTTTCTAAGGATTAATATGGTAAATTGCATCTTACTAGAGGGTGAACTAATCTTTCGTCAGATTGAATTCAGAAGATAATGGTCCAACTTGAACGGTATAAAGTCTAAAAATATAAAAAAAGATAATTGGTTTGCAAAAGCATAAATATAAATACAAATATTGAAAAATAACGGGTTAGAAAAATCATAAATAAAATAAACAAAGTACTCAAAGAGATAAACAATAAAATAAAAGCAGACGATAAAATTAGAAGTCAATTTTTAGAACGATAGAGTTGTTGGTTTCCTTTAGATTAGTTTTGTTTGGAATTTGAGTTCCTTATATCCCGCTACGGGTTTTTCTTGTTGTTTTATGATTGTTACTGTTTGTGTTTCTGAATAAAAGTTTTTTTATAACGAAAAAATAGTGCGTGGAGTCCCTCCGCGCGGAAGAAGTTAAACTTCGTAACCTGCGACGTTAATTGTAGAAGAATCAGCAGTCGAAGAAGGATCGCTAGTTCTATTCAACGACTCTTTTTTCTGCTCCGCTCGCTTCCGTGCTCTGTAATAACGGTAATATTGTGCATTTTTCCCTCGTAGACCTCTTGAACCAGTGGAAGTGCTTGTGGTTGCTTCATCGTCTCACCATGGAAAATGTATTTGCATTAATAATGTATGTGAATGTGCCATAATGTAATTTCAAAAGAGAAAACCTAACAATCAATTGATANTCTAGGTCATTATACGGTTTCTTTTCGCAAAGTCTTGTACACTCAGCTAAAATCCACCTTGTCACGAAATTTTAATGGACAATGCAATTTGATCCTATCTATAGTGTGATGTCAACTAAAGCGTCATTATGAACCTATGGCGTCATTATGGACCATGTTTTCTGGGACTGGTACAATTTGATAATTTGCATAAATTTGCTTGTAAGTTGTTTGGTATTACTTACTTGTGAGCGTAAACATTCTCCAAAATGAAGTACACAAAGAATGTTTACTAACATAGAACACTGCTCACTATTCTAACAAACATGTCCATTACACGTCCTGAAATGTAGCGTTAAACGTTTAACGCAACCTTGTTGGAAGTCGCATAAGAAGTATAACTTCAGAAACTGAACAGTTCTTTATTATAGCTTGATGTGCTACAACGGGAATATGATCTAGTTTAACAAATTTTCAAAGATTCATTAAATTTGCTTATCATGGTTCAAAGCTGAATCAAATTTACTACTCATCTACATTTTTGAAACTATACATTGAAACTAAAATAATTAAGAAATTAAAAATAAGAATATATTAATTAATAGCTTTGTGAAAATGCATTATTTTTTCGCATTATTTCAATTGTCTTTAAGGAAAAAATCAGTGTGCTCTCATAAATATTTTTCTGAAACGAGGTAGGAAATTTGATTTCGACATTGTATTTTTCAGTAACGTTTTATTTATATTTCAGGTTTTGATTTTATTAGAAAATTCCGACTAGACGATTTCGAATTCGATTTCCCCGGAGTGAAGAAAGTAAAAGGATCTAATCGAATGCAAACGGCGTACAGACTTTCAAAGAGAGCAGATTTAAGTTTACCAACAAGGTAAAGATTTTTAAACCATGTCTAGAATATTTTTATTAAATCCAAGTTTGAATTTATTTGAATTTTGTAAAATGTAATGTAAATAATTTTATTTGATTTAAAAACTAACAATATAATAATTATTTGAAAAATTAGGAGAAAAGTTAATTCCATAGTTAGTTTTCTAATATAACAAATTGAATTTTAGTTCTTGATTATTTTGAATACAATATTTTCAAATGTAGAGTCATTTTATGTTTCACTTGTTAGTGTAGTTACCATTTTATACTTTAACGAGAATGTTTCATGAGAATGTTCATGTAACAATATTTTTAAATGTAGAGGCATTTTAAGTTTCACTTGTAAGGGTATCAGTTTATACTTTTATTAGAATGTTTCATGAGAATGTTCATGTAACAATATTTTTAAATGTAGAGGCATTTTAAGTTTCCCTTGATAGAGTATCAGTTTATACTTTTATGAGAATGTTTCATGAGAATGTTCATGTAACAATATTTTTAAATGTAGAGTCATTTTAACTTTCCCTTGTTAGTGTACCATTTTATACTTTTACGAGAATGTTTCATGGGAATGTTCATGTAACAATATTTTTAAATGTAGAGGCATTTTAAGTTTCCCTTGTTGGGGTATCAATTTATACTTTTATTAGAATGTTTCATGAGAATGTTCATGTAACAATATTTTTAAATGTAGAGATATTTTAAGTTTCACTTGATAGAGTATCAGTTTATACTTTTACGAGAATGTTTCATGAGAATGTTCACGTAACAATATTTTTAAATGTAGAGGCATTTTAAGTTTCATTTGTAAGGGTATCAGTTTATACTTTCATAAGAATGCTCTTAGATGTATGTATACGTTGTTGAATTATAGAAGAATTCACTTTTTTTAAAATTTTTCAGTGGCGTTCATGTTTAAAAGATAATATTGCAAAAATAGCTTAAAATATGTTTTTTTCTATCTAAATAAATCTATTGATCACTTCTTGAAGAAAAATATGCGTATTTTTTTGCTTGTTTCGACGTTTATTTAACACCAATCCGCCTGAGGGGTATGATTACTCCTAAAAAAACTTTAATTCCATGAAATCATTCTTTCAATGTTTATCCAATTTTTAAGAAATTGTAATAACATGTATATTACTGATGTAATTTACGTTGCGCGCAATATTTTTAAAATGATTTTTACAAAACAATGCTAGACAAGAAGAAATTCCTTGTAATTTGAAACGTATGATTTATTTAATCAAAATCTATAAAACACAAAAACAAAACTCTTACGTGAAATTTATTCTTTAATGTAGTAGTGCATGCTGTTAAATTTTATCAAAATCACACAAAAGTTAAGAAAACCCTACGTGTTCAGAGCTTATAAAATGCGCGTTTTTTAATTTGTTTTTTTTATTTGTTTATTTATGACTTATTTAAGAAAATATGATTCAATGCGAGTGACAAATCACAAAATTCACTTCAATGAAAAACTAATTATCTCAATATAAAATTTTAAAAAAAAAATTTTTGATGAAAAATTATAGGTAACTCAGGAGATAGAGCGCTCTTTTTCTAGTGAGGTGAACCGAGTTCGAATCGCAGCGATGGCTGGTCGATACGAATTCCGCACTCGGCTCGCACCGACCACAGTGTTGACATAAAATATCCTCAGCGGTAGATCAATCATAGGTTAAAGTCCCCTAGATTAGCCGTGGGAAGTTTTCCGAGTTTACATAACGCAAATGAGGGTTAGTTCCATCAAAAAATTCTCCACAAAGGCAATTTCTGACAATACTTGATCCTGGAGCTTTATTGTCTTTTGGATCGGGTTCAAAATTACAAGGCTACGGAGAATATTGGTAGTCGTAAACACAAAATTGGGTCAGCAGCTCAAATATTGTTATAAAATTCAAAAAAAGTTCTGAACTAATTAGTTAGCTTTCATAAGATTACCCTCTTAAACCAACGAACCCCAACTCATAAAAGAAAATGTTTCAATCTAAGTCCTTTAAACCATTCTTAAAATTACCTCTTTGTACAAGAAAAACCGATAGCTATATAAAAAGTTGTTTAGATGTTCCGTTGTTTCCTTCGCACCATACATTTTTGCAGAATAAGTGTAGTTTTAGAATTTTTGTGCCAAATTTTTGTACCAAAATTAAGTGATACTATTCTTCGCAAAATAAGATCCAGACAAAATTTCAAACAATGTCGAAAATACACAGGATCAAGGAGACTTTGCTGTGGGAAAATAAAGTAAATATAGATACACTGTATAAAAGTGTGGTAAAATTGTGGTGAAAAGTTACAATTTGTTACAAATTGTGGTAAAAAGTTACATCAGTCAGAGTGCCGATGTTTTCGACTGTAAAATCCGTTTTTACCAGAACATGTTACAGAATAAAAAAATATGATATACCATAATTTTTGCGGTAATAACTACCGAAAAATCACAGAATCACTCTAATTAAATAAATATTATTGTAAAAATTACTACATAATACTTTACGGCATAATGGATTTTGTAAATGATGCACTCGAGGTGACGGTACATTATACCGTAATTTACTATTGAAATGTTTTTCTGCTTTGAAGATACATCGTTGGATAGTTAAAAGGATTCTAACATAATACTAAAATGTTCAAAATGCAGGGAAGTTAATTACAAATATAATTCTGAACATGTTCAATTCTTGATTTTTCTTTTATGCCAATGTAAAAAGACAGATAATTATAATGCTGTAATAAAAATAATAAAAATAATTCACGAGAGAGCAAAAAGGACATAAATTTTCTGAGGTGAAATGTTCTGGCATTTGTATAACTAAAGTGAGGTAAAAATTATTAATAATTAATAATTGAAATCGAGTTCTCAACAGTTTGTCAGAGACAATTCCTCTAAATACATATTTTATTTGTAAACTTTTGATTCGTTAATGGGAGAGAAAGTGGGATCTCTCTGAAAAGATTTCGAAACAAAATACATCAATGCGCTGATATTAATAAAAGACAATAAAAAATGTGTTTGATTTACAGCTTGATTTTGTTTTATATTCAAATTGTTTTTCTTATCATTCAAGTGAGAGAATATTGCATTACACTTATAAATTTTTCAAAAAAATGCAACTTTACAGCTTTATTCATGCATTAGGGAAACTTATTTATGCAAATACACTATTTTTTGAAACATAACATTAATGGATTAATTTAACAAGGAAAAGCAAAATAGTTTATTCATGCGTTCATTTACATAAATACATTATGCATTCTTTTGCTTTTATTTATAGATAAAAATCTAAATTTTTATTTATATTTTAAAACATTAATTAGCATTAAATTCTACTCTAATGATAATTATTATTATTCTTTTTAAAGATAAAATATTTAGTTTCATGTTATGTATGCAATATATAATTAGAAAATTTAACGTTACTTTCATCTAATTTGGTAATTTATATTCTTGTTTTAATTACAGATGAGTTTTACCCAGATTTGTTTTCAAGAAATAGAATTCAAAGATTGCATTCTTAAAATCACCCTCTATTTAAATTTATATGCTTAACTTTTTGACCCGGCTGTGTAGGGGTCAGGAAGCTGACTTCACAGCAGAAAGTTACTGGGTTCAAATCCTGGACAAGGCATGGATGTTCTCTTATTAACTATATCATCTATCCCTACTGTGTAAGCATCGTTGGCTCGCCTAATATGGGGCCCCTTTAAGAGTGGTCAGCAAATCTGACAAACGAGTCTTACCTGAACTAACTGTAACTTACCCCTAACTGTAAATCGGTTGAGCATTGGGGAAAAAAACGTAAGCGCTGTTAATTAATAAAACTAAATGAATTCATTCCAATCTTTGCCATTTCGTTCTCAAAGAAATTTAAAAAATTAACTAAAAATTAATTACCCGTTTTAAAAGTTTAATTATTTTTATTTATATATATATTTTTTTTTCCTAAATTTTATTTTTAAAAGAAAATTATAAAGAAAATTCAATTAAATTGGAAGTAACCTGTAGTAATTTCTTAAAATCTTTTATTTTTTTAAAAAAGAAAATAGTGCGAGAATAAACAAAATCACGTTTCCCATTTCACCATTTCAGAGAGATTAATAATAAAATTGTTTTTAATATTGAAGGAATATATCTAACCAGCAAAAGTTCCAGACCATCTAAATACCAAACTCTTCGTATAATGTATAATGTTAGATTGAATAGTTTAAAATTGGATATGAAAGTTTGAATTGTAAGCAAGTCTTACTGAATATTGTCCATCTACTTTTTTTCAGATCTATATTTCCAATTGGATTGCCAGAAGAATTTTCTTTCGTTGCAACTTTCCGAAAGAAAAATGGTCGCAAGGATCCATGGTTTCTAATTAGAATCAACGATATCTTAAGCAAACCTCAGTTTGGAATCACTCTCAATCCGAGGAAACAAATGCTGGAATTTTACTCATTGGATTTTGAAGGAAAACTACAGACAGCACGTTTCGGAAATGTTGAGGTAAAAAAAAATTCTTTATCTGTAATGCTCTATTAGTATCATTTTTATAGGGTATTTGAAATGCACGTAAAACGGTCAAATATCTCAAAAAATACTTAAAGAATCAAACTTCAATTATACGCTTATGTGGTTCATTTTTTAAAAAGGCATTTAATGATACCAATCTCGATCACCTGCCTCAACATTTAGATATTTTTGGTATTGTTATTGTTGTGAGTTTGGTGTTGGTATATATATAANTTGTCGTATGCCTGTTTAGGCAGTGGGGGTGCGATTGTTCCTGTTTTTCAGTGGCGCCATCTATGGCCAGGAATTCGACTTCTGCCACGCCATTCACGCAACCACAACCCGTTTATAGGGCACATTCACACACAAAGGAGAAAGGGTATAGAACACACAGAGAGAGAAAGGAACATCCATGCCTTGCCCGGAATTTGAACCCAAGACCTTTCTGATGCAAGGACAGTTCCCTGCCCCCCTACACAGGCCGTTCGGTTGGTGTTGGTATTGTTGTCGTGATTGACTTTAGCATACCGAGGAAAAAAAAGTATGGTCAAAATTACCAGAACACGGAAAAATTTACCGTATTTCTGGCTATATGGGAATGTCAAAGACTCGGTAATTTTTACCGAAGAGCTTAATATTAACTATAAAAAATTATTATGTAATAGTTGAAAAAATTTGGTTAATATAGTAATTTTATACTGATAGCCCTAGACCATGACATAAAAACAATTTATTCACTTAAATTTTCTTTTAAGATTTTTAATCAATTATGTAGTAATAAGAATTATGGTTTTAAAATTCGGAATTTCAAGTTAATCTTTACCATAAAAACGAAAAAATGACCAAATGAATGATTTAAACACCGTGTATTTTGGTTTTATTTACCAGAATTATGTTTGTTTGTTTTTTAAACCAGAAACGCCATTACCATACCTTACGGTAATTTTACCTGACTTTTTTTTTCTCCCTGAATCATTCCAAAGTAATTAACTAGTCTATTTTTTATTTATTTTTCAGTATTTTTTTGTGTTTCGATTTCTTGAAGTATTTTTATTCTAAATATTAACCATTTGACGATTACAGCGTCATCTGTTAACTAAATTGTGAATACTTGATAGTCAAATTAGGGAAAGGAGCTAAATCTGCAATAATAACGTAGGGGAACATACGTACGATCTTTTTCGAATTTTGGGATTTAAGTTTGATATCATTGAAATTATCCTTTCAAAATATTTAACTAATGAATTTTTAGATTTTTTTTAACCCAATTTTCTTTTGATATACGTTGTCTGCTCCAAACTTTTCGGGCATCGTATCTTGTACTATGGTAAGCGGATGCTTAGAAACATCAAAATATTTCTTGCCTTTAAAAATCCGTGCCTAGGAAAAATTACAATATTCTATATTGTTATTTCTATATTGTTATAAGTGTTCATATACCCCATTGCCAACAAAGTTGAGATTTTCAAATTTGGTTTGTGAATACTCAATAAAATTCATTTTCTATGAATTTCTCTAACTTTATTTGTGTTGTTGTTGTTTCTAATGCTACTTGCTGCACCGGCAAGCCTGCTAGGTGAAACCGAGCAAATTTAAGGCAGGGTGTGAGTTTCTCGTTTTTCAGTGGCGCCATCTATGGTCAAGAATTCGACTTCTGCCACATCATACGTCACACCCGTTTATAGGGCGAACCCATTCATACATCAATTCATTCATACACAGATCGGAATTTTGACCTGAATCAGAGAACGATCGATCTCTAATCCAGTACCCCCAGAGGTATGGATTTGTTATGAGAACATGGAGGATTTTTGCGACTCGACAAATTTAAAGTGCATCAGTACTTTATTTGTTAGCTTTATTTACAAGAAAAGTTTAAAAGAAAGGGTAATTGTTATTGATTGTTTAAAAATTATTTTGGAAACTTTGATACCTTAAACTTCTAAATATATTTGTGGTTATTAAATTATTGAAGAAAATCTAATAATTATAATAATTAGGTCAGTCTTCCAAGAACGTAACAGGGAAAATTGACTGCTTTATTAAGTTTTAAATTCTCAGCTTTGTCATGTATAGTAACATCAAGATATGCGTACAAAACAAAAAAGTTTCTTTAAATTGTTTTTCTTATAAGTCCAGTAGAATAATTTAGAGTTATATGTTTAACAGCTAAGCAGAAATATGTTAAACATGTTAATAACCCTTTAAAAATTATATTGTTTTTCAAAGGTCACTTAATATGATCTTTTACTAAAACCTTTATTTGTAAATAATATTTAAAAGAGACAAGAAAACAGATTTTAATTTCAAAAATTGGAACTTTGATTCCTATTGATAATTAGATTTTAAAGATACCTGTTGCATTTTTTTAATTATTTACTTTCTAAAGATATTTCGTAGTGCATAGTTTTCTACATTCATTAATATTTTTTATGATTCATCTTTTTGCAAAATTATACTTTTAGTTTTTTGTTTCATCTCATTTTTATTCATATATCCTTTTATTTACTTTTCCTTTTTTTGCAAGGGTCTCTTTTTCATCTCAGCCTAAGAGCCGGTATTGTGTTTTTGTTTCGCTTCTTTTGTTACTTCCCTTTCATTCGTATTAATAACATTTGTATGGTTGTCTTACTTTTTTTTTCATAACTAAGCTCCCATTTTTCTGCACATATTTCTGCTTATCATTTTTTACAAATTTATTCTGATGGTATTTATCATCTTTCTTTATTTTTCTTCTTGATTTCTTTCCCTTCTCTCTGAAGGAAATGAAAGATTTCTGGTCAAATTCGTATCAAAATTACTGCATTTATTCGAAAAAATATTTTGTTTTGGTTTTTGAAAGAACATTATAATATGTAATGAGTTGTACTATTTTGAAGTCCAATAAGGAGACCCATATGTTCCTTTTTATTATTTAACTCAATAATTCATTTATTTCAGTTTAATGACCACGCGTTTTCAATTTGAAAAGATTTCTTAATTTTTTGCAAACAATGCTATACATTGTAAATACAGTGGTGTAGTAGCTTATCGAATTCGGGGTTGAACAACCCAATAAAAAATACGAAGGAACTTTTTATGTACTTTAGCATCCAAATAAGAGTCTCGGTGCTACCATCTAGTGTGGCAGAAACTAGACGTCCAAATTAACATGGCCAACGGTATCTCACCCATTGTGGTGGTCCTGAAAGAATGGATACCACTTCTGGAGAACGCTCTAAGTCTGCTCATGTGTGCGCACTTGTACAGCTCATTGGAAATAAAATAAAAACTTTTTATCTCAAGTTAACATCAAATCGAGTGCTCATATGCATTATTAACCCACTGGCAGTTTAGCAGATGGATAAAATCGGGAGAATGTTTCTCCCAAATATGCAATCTAATAGCCTAGAAAAACTGGTTTTGCTATGCGTAGACGACTGCAGGTTAAAATACGACATTTTACGGGCAGAAGCGGCGGTGGGTTAAGCATATGCTTAACTATAACTTCCAAAATAAAATACATTCGCAAGATTCATGAATTATTTCCGCTTTTGAAACCTCCAATTTTAGCGTTATTTAACTGTTTTCAGTAAATTGTTTAATATCTTGTATGAAAGGGCGGGAGCTTGTGCTTGGTTTGTTCGCTATTATACAATTACAGAAACTAAAGTTCGCCGTTACAAAATGTGTGCGTATTTTCAGGCATATAGTAAAGATAACTGTATTTTAATTTTTAAAAAAATCCGCCAATCGTATTAAATGATTTTACAATATTTATTTTCTCACCGCTTTTGTTTTTTTATGCCTAATTCTCATTCGTCTCAGTATTTTCTTAGTGCTTTAGGTGTGTTTTACGGACAAATAAAGTTTCGTTACTAATCAGGGAGTATGCGCTTTCTAAACTAAATGTTCCCGCTTTAAATTGTACTCATTAATGTTAAATGTTACAATTCAAAATTTGGATGAATTCATTCAAGCGGCTTTCACCAAATAAAACTTTTTTAAAAATATGTCAGTTTGTAAAATACTTTTACTCAAAACTTTTTCAGCGGACTTCGTTCGAAACTTTTCTCAAAACCTGTTCTTTTGTATATTATTTATAATACCTGAAAGAAATATAAGAGTAGAATTATTAGAAAGAAATATAAGAGTAGAATTATTAGAAAAATCTAAGTGTAAGGAATACTGAACAATGTTCCTATTTAAGTTCATAATACATCGGTCTACTTACCGGGCAATAGACCATACTACACTGTTAGTTTTTTTTATCCTGGAAAATCTAGTTATTATTAATAATGCTTGGAGATAAAAAAAAATTATTTTCTTATTACAGAAATTAAAATAAAATATGAACTTAATCATGTTTCATAATATTTCGGTTAATCGTTTGACAATGTATACAATATAGAGCCTATGTGAGAAATGTTTTATCATTTCATGATTTTTAAGTTAATTTTCAGGATTGCATACAACTCTGGCTTTTCAAACCTTGCCGGTAACACACACTGTTAACAATAATACACATTCAATCCTTATTGTTGTTTTTTTCTGACCATTGTAAGAAGTAGTACAGGCTGCAAAAAAAAAATTGTTTTTGAAACTGCATAATGTGCTTTCTAAAAATACTTACAAGATCATTGTATTACGAAAAAATTAAGGTAAAAATGTTTGAAAATAGAGAGATTTCGCAAAGCGTTACGGTTTTCCCTAACTCGAACGCTAGTGCTTTTTGAGCTCGGCCGTACACGTGAAAAAATTTCCCTATAGGTTGGAGTATCGCTATGTGATAAAAGGTAACCGCAGTCTTACGTCAGATGTAGTCGTACGTTTACCGTAGGCTTACGTCAACTGTACGATTTACGTAAGACCAGCTCTAATCAAAATACCTTTAATACATTTCAAGAGAATCTTAAGAGTATATCCAATAAAAAACAATTAAGCTCATTCTTACGCTAGACGAAATGAGCTGCTTTAAGAAATAAAATTTTAAATATTTATAATCGAAATAATAGAAATAGCAATTAACTTCAAACAGAATGCACTTAGAGTAAAGGAAGAAATCAAACTAGGCTGATGCCGAAATTTTAAATTAAATTATTCATCAAAATGAAACTAGTCATGATTCAATTAGAAAATTTATTAATAATCTTTAAAATATTTAAACTTAATTACTGTTAAGTTGCTTATAATGTCTGCTGAATTTGAGACAAACCTAGCGAAAGTTGTTAAATATTTCAAAATACTTTAAATTTGCTCAAAATACTAATTTAATCATTTAAGCAATACTCTTGCATAAACTCATCTAAAATACATTAGTCTTCTTAATAAGCCAAGTAATCTCGCATCGAGATAGTTGCACATACTTCTTAATTAGTTATTCCCTACGAAATTCGTTTGAATTACCTAAATTATTTAAATACGATATCGATATAAGTAATAAACAAAAATGACAAGCTCTTACATTGAGATTAGTTTTACGGACGGGGGAAAATGACTTATCCATATTTATCAATGCTTATAAGCACCTCTGTACGAAATAAATTACTATTTAGCATATATATGGGAAGCATCACGAAATACGAATCGTATTTTAATATCCAAATAATCGCCCTCATCCATTTCCCTCAAATAACGCATGGCAACTGTCTCTTTTAGGGAAATGGAACTTATTTCAAAGAATTTGTTGCGAAATGTTTGAGAAATTCAAAGATATTTATGGCAATGTAACACAGTTTTAAGATATAAATTTCTCTGATTCATGTACTATGTAATGATTAAAAAAAATGCTGAAATATTGCATTCAACAAAAAAAGATTATTTTTTCATCAAATAAACAAAGGAAAGAAGTATATTTAAATATACAATTAATTATATATAAAATATTCATTTTCTCTCTTTTATCAATAATGAACTTATTATTATTATATTTTTTTTTCAGTTTGGTAACCCTTTAAACACCACCCTTTTTACATACTGGGCGCTCTGTAGAAACTAACCTTAATATACATTTTTAGAATCCATGTGAAAAAATCGCTCATAACCGAAGTCGAAAATTAAACGAGAATACTTAATTTTGCCGTCAGGCTTACCGTCTTAGGTTTTCGTGGTTTTCCTCTCCAAGTAACGCGAATGCGGGTTAGTTACATCGCAAAGTTCTCCACGAAGACAAATTTCTTCCGATACTTGATCCAGGAGTTCCCTTGTCTTACACTTTTTTTAATTAACTAAAACTGACTTACTAATCTTATCTCAACTAATTTATATTTTTTAAACCATGAATCGAGAAATGGGATAGTTTAAAGAATGTTTTTCTTTTCTTTTTGAAGAAAATCTTTTTCAAAATCTAAATAAATTATCAAAAAAAAATTTTAACTTTATATAATATAGTTTCATATTAATAATAAAATAAACATTATGAAAAAGCAATTTATAATCATTGTATAAATGATGAGTTTTGATGAGTTAATAAAATTATAATGCTATTAAAGTAATAAAAATAAAGTAATTAAAGTAATAAAAATTATAATGCTATTAAAGGTGAAAAATCGCTATCTTTCATTTTTAAAAAGACCATTTTTACTTTAGTTATAGCTTTATATTTAAACCATTTCATTTAAAGATCTCTCGATAATGCTCTTGTGTAAAAATGTAATGAGAATCGTAATGAGAACAATATAGCAGTAATAATAATAATTGCAGCATCATTCTTTAGATTATAAACTCTCTAATTAAAACCAAAGTAAACAATATAACTGTTTCATATGTACACTGAGAAACTACCTGAATGCGATAAAATGTGTTTCATACCATATTTCTGGCTCTATGGGAACACTAAAAAGCTCGTTAATTTTTACTAGAGAGCTTTGGTAATGATTTTGATAAAATTAACAATGAAATAGCATTTTATAATCTGTGATAAAATTTGGCAAATGTGGTAAAAAGTAGCATAAAAGCCATTTTTTCGGTTAAATTTACTTTTCAGTTTTGATTTTTTTATGTGGTAATAAGAACTATAATTTTGAAAAACTGAATCTCGGGTAAACCGTTACCATAGAAACGGAAAAATAACCGAATAAATGACTAAAAAATAGATGGAACTTTAGATACCAAAAAAATGGTTTAAATACGGAAGATTTTTAATTTTTTTTAAAACCAAAACATTGTTTTTTTTTAATAGAACTTTCGTTACCTAACAATACGGTATTTTTATCAGAATTTTTTTCTCCGCGTATTTAAATCTTATTTCTCGCTTGGTAATATTCTCTTTAGGACAAATTAGCTATAGTTAGGACGTTTAGAGAAACTTTTTTTTCTGGACTTTATCTTAGAAGTAAATTTAGTTGGCGTAACATAGTCCAAAGTACTCATGAAGTAATAAGATTAAATAAATACTAAATTTTAAAAACGCATTTTCTAAAAAATAAATTCCCAAAATTTTTCCCAAATCACATCACGTTTTATGAAAATTTAATTAAAAATAAAGCTGTTACACTTAAAATATGTTAAAATTCAAAGTGTTATATGTAAGAGTTTTAAAGAAAATCAAACTTGTAGGGTAAAACGAATATTTTATATACTAAAAGCTTTTGATATACTATTCAATTGAAGTGTTTTATTTTTGTTCCAATCGACAACTATTTATGATGTAATATTGTTTTGCAGGTGGACGACAATCAGTGGCACAAAATTGACTTGAGTGTGTATCAAGACAAAGTTACTTTATATATGGATTGTGAAAAGCAATCATCGCTGTCTATTGATTTAAGGGGACCCATTGATGTCAATGGTGACATCATGATTGCGAAATACGAAGATGACAGCGACACAGTTCCAGTAAGTGTATTTCCAAAATGGCAGTCATGTTCATTTAGAATGTGATTACCTTGAAATAATAATGTTTTACCATTAAATGATTACTACTAATATTAATGATTACTCCCATTGCAGTTAGAGTTGCAGTGGATGGTTATGAGTTGTGATCCAACTAGGCCAGAGAGAGAAACCTGTGATGAACTGCCTGTAATGTTTTTTTTTCCTTTTACTTTACCCGAAATATGTGTACTTATATCGAATTTATTTATCGTGTTTAATTAGGTGCACAATATAAAGCATTAAGTCCGCAAAAATTTAAAAATAAAACATCAAAATGCTACTTTTTGCTGAACATGGTATTTTTAAAGTATATTTTTGAATATTAGATTTCCGAATATTAAATATCAGCACACTTAAATGTGAATAAAATCAAATGTGGACTGTATTTTATGTTGAATGTTTCGAATTCTGACAATTTATATTTATCTTAAAATTTGTAATTTATCTTATAATCTTAATCTGATTGCAACGTTTACAAGCAAAAAATTAACTGCTTTTTTTCTGCTGAATTAAAATATTATTCTACAGTCAACATACTGGAATATGTTGCGGAACAAAAAATCTGATATACCGAAATGTTTATATAATTACTTTAAAATTACTAAATTACTCGAATTAAATAAGTATAACAGTAAAAATTACACGATAATATTTAACAGTAAAAATGGATTTTATGATAAAATGGATTCTAATAATTTTTATGCAGTGCAATCTTAACTGTAAAAATATTTCAGTTATTTTGCAGCTAACGCGACGAATTTCTCAGTAATGTATTTAAAATTTTTTTTTACCCATTGGTATATGAAATTACACAGTACATGCGAACTCACTTGAAAAAAACATTTTTGAAAAATAAGGAAACTTTAAATCCATGATTATACTGCAATAAATATGAAGTAATTATTCACATTCCTTCTTTGAGAAGTATATTTTCTGATGTATCAGCAGAAAAAAACCCAGTTATTTTGAATTGTTTTTTTAGGAATAAGAGATCATAACACTCAGATTTCTAACAGGAAACAAATTAGTAAATAATAACTTTGATTATACGAAGTATACATTTAAATAGCCAGGGAATTAATAAGTTTTTAAATCACTGACAGCATATTATTAATAATTATGTCGACTATGTATGATATGAAGACTATAATTTTTAATGCTAAGCAGGTACCGTCATTCGGGGCTACTTTGTGCAGGATTTCGCAGTTTTTGAACTTTGACATATAAAAAAACTATGTTAATTTAAATTTTAGTAAAATTTATCGATATTATAATCATAACTGAACTGAGACGAGTGAATTTGATCAATATTGGCATTATTTGTATGTAATATTTACGAATAATAAGTCAAAACATACCTTGCACAAAGTAGCCCCAAATGGGGCTACTTTGTGCAGCGATGGGAATTCAGTTTAATAATCATGTTTTTAGTAAAATATTGATATAAAATTGTTAAAAAAGTTAATTGTTGACATTTTTAAAGACAAAAACATCAAGATATGTAAAGATATTAGTTTGAAAATAATTTTCAGCGTTAAAAAACCATTTTTTTTAAAGAATTTTTTCTTAAAAAGAATGTTTATTTCAAAACATTTGAGTTTAAACAAAAGGAAACCATATACATTTTTAAACATTGAAATGGATGAAATTTTAAAAATAATAATTATTACATATTCATTAACATTTATAATATTGTTAAATTTGAACATAACATCCTTGAATGAACATGACAGAACTTGCTCTTCAGTTTCTGTCAAAATCACCTGATGTCCTATAAAATATATTTTTATGTGTTAAATCGTTTGATTAATTCATTAGAAAAATCTTTGCAGAAGAAAAATAATAGTTTACCAGGAAGTTTCAGGTGTTTCTTGTGAATTTTATTAGAGATAGTATTTCTGTGGATTTTGTACAAATGTGAGATAAAGAATTCATATTTTTGTTTAGCTGTAGAAGAAAATTACCTGCAAGAAGAAAAAAAATATTATTCTTTCAGCAGTTTCGTTAAATGTGAAGAGAAAGCCCTATATTTGTTAAGATTTCTAGAAATAATTTCTGTTAATTCTTATTACTTGTTAATTGAATAATCGATAAGTTTCGGTTTCCGCCTTTCACACAATTAAAAAAATCAATCAAAAAAGTGACTGCGCAACGTCGTTTCAAGAGTTGGCTATGTTGATAGTCGTTCGCATTGGGAGATTGACAATCATTTGGCGTGCACTAAGATGCAGACAGTCTCCTTTCGTAGTTATAATGGTTTTTCTTAACTTGCAACAGTACATTTCTAAAAGATCAACAATATATTTCTAAAAGATATAATACTTGTTACACTTACTTATACTTTGACAAGAGATAAGCTTAAGGCATGTGGTAACTTGATGTTAACAAACTTATGTACTTATTTTTTTCATAATGAATTTATTTCCAGAATTTTACTGAAGTTTAATGATTAAATTAATTTTTAATGAAAAATTAATTTTCTTTAGAAAAAATATCCGTCAAACTCAATTGGACCTAAAATTAAAAAAGCGTATGAGATTTAATAAGTGTAACCCCTGCCTATGTTTCAAAAAGGGCTTTATTTTAAAGCATATGGAATCCTAAATTCAACAAACGTTAGTAAAAGTTTCTATCCGGGAACTTTATTAGAATTTTACTACAGTTCATTAACTATTATTATAAAGAAAGCATTTTTCAATTTTAAGTTCAATGCAACTGGATCTAAAATAAAGAAGACCTCATTTATAAGAAAAGACGTTTAACTAAAGATTCGCTTTACAGCCAAAGAAAAAGAAACCGACTGAAGAAAAATGTCAAATATGTCCTCCCGGTGCCCCTGGTTTGAATGGAACTGAGGTAATTAATTAAGAAAATTCCTTTCCATAAGTATCTAATTACTGATGAAGTAAAACGATTATTTATTTATGTTCTTATTACTTTCATAATACCTTTCTATATCAGAGTATCCAATTTATAAATTTGAAGATTTGCTTCGTTAATTGCGAGGATTTTAATGCATTTAACGTTGATAACATAGAAACATAAACGAATTTTCCTTACTTTTTCAATGTTTGAACGCTGTAAAATTGATTTTTGAAAGGTATCTGGTTGTTTCGTTTTTAAATAATTACTTGGATGTTTATTATAGTCCAGCAATATGATATGATAAAATTTGAGATAGAAACATGTATTAAAATTTAAATTAAATATTTGAACTTGAATATTGAAACTAAATGTTTGAACCAAAATGTTTAAGCTACAATAAATGTTGAACCTAAACATTGAATTCATAGCTTTAATCCTAAACATTTAACTAAAAGTTTTGAAACTAAGTTTAAGAAATTAATTTTGATAATTAATGATAAAGGAAAATGGTTATTTATTCATGTTCTTATTACTTTCATAATACCCTTTCATATCAAAGTATTCAATTTATTCACGTGAAGATTCTTGTCATTAATTTCGATGATTTACAATAAATATCACAATATAAGGAACGCGACAATATACAGTACAATTACAATATAAGAAAAACGATTATTTTACTTTCATAATATCCTTCTGTATCAGAGTATTCCATCTATAAACTTGAAGATTCGTTTTATTAATTTCGATGATTTTAAAAAGTGGATAATATAGAAACATTAATGAATTTTCATTACTTTTTTAAAGTTTTTTAATGGTAAAATTGATTTCAAAAAGACATCTGGTAGTTTCATTGTTAAATAATTACTTAGCAATATGTTTTGTTATCTTTAATTGGAAACAAATATGCAGAAAGACAAAATTTGAGATAAAAACTTTTATTAGACTGGCAATTAAATATTCGGACTTAAATATTGAAACTAAATATTTTATCCTTGACGTTTAAACTAAATATTTGAACCTATGTATTTCAACTATAAATTTAATTTAAGGATTTAAATAAACTTTTGGGAACTAAAATGCACACAATGGATTATTAGCTTTCTCTTAATTTTTTACTTAAAGAAGAAAAGAGTTCACTTTGAGAAGTAGTTGGAAGTAAATTGCACTTTTGAACCTAGAATGCTTACAGTACATTTACAACAGAAATATTTTGCTTGTAGTTTTCAAAAATAAAAATTTACTTTTGAAATTGCGTTGAAATTAGTAGACCATGGAAACTATAGTAGTCGCTGTTAAATAACTACTAAAGTACTGATAATAATATCCAGAACATTATAAGTACAATGTGTCTTATTAGTTACTGTACAATATTTATACACTGTAAAACATTTCAGAAACTAATTATGACTCGACAAAAATGTTTCCGAAAAATTTCCAATAACTTCATGTAATATCATGTTTCCGAATTGAGAAACAGTTCTGTTATTTTCAAAAGTAAGAAACTAAATCTCATTGATGTCGATTGAGTTTCAGCAACCACTACAACTATTTAATTCCTGTTCACTAGTACAGTGATTCTCAACCTTTTTTAGGCGGCGGCACACTTTTAACGATTTCGAAATTTGACGGCACACAATGAAAAAAATAAGTTTAAAAGTTGTTTACTTACCTATAACACACTGTGTTAAATAGTTTGCAATAATAATTTTGAATGTGAAATAAAATAATATGTACTACAAAAGTACGTTTATTATGGGATTATTTATTTCTTTCGACTAATTTTTCATTGGTTAGTAACAGTTATTTATTTTTTTGCTAGTTATTAATTGTTAGCTTGTTTTCTATTGTTATTAACTTTTAGTTTTTTACATTAATTATTATTTTTTGCGATTTCTTGTTAATTAGTTTTATTGCTAATTATTAATTGTTAGCTTATTTTTTGTTAGTTATCCTTTGTTAATTTGTTTTTAGAATTATAAATTGCATAGCTTACTTTAATGATTAGCTTTTATTTTCGTTTGAAAGTTAATATTTAGCTTTCCTTCTTTTGTTAATTAATAATTTTAATAGTCATTGAGTTTTCTATTTATTTCAACATTTTTTTTCAAAGACAATTAAAACTCTTCCTTCTTATTTTAAGATTGTCAGAGACAACACAATCGCAGAGGAAGATGTTCACGCAGTTAAAGTGTGGAAAAGTTATAAAAAGTATATATATAATATTACATACATATAATATTATATATATATAATATTATATATTTGCACTTTTCTTTAATTTAAACTTTACTCGTAATAAAAAAAAAGCATTATAATTTCTATTGTACCATTTCTAATATTCGGCGGCACATTTTAAAAATTTGGCGGCACACAAAAGTGCCGCGGCACAGTGGTTGAGAATCACTGCACTAGTATATAAGACACGTTAACTCGATTATTTCGGGTAGGGGTAGTAATGTAGCGTAACTACCACTGCAACTATTTAATTACCAGTCACTAGTGTATAAGACATGCTAACTCGGTTCTATAAGGTACCTTTTGATAGATGACGGTCGACATTTTTGTTAGCCCAGATGGGTGGGTCGCGCACGTGTTCTGAACACGCCTGCCGCGACCAACACGTCTACCTCGATTGAAACATCCACTTCGATTGGAACACTCTTAGTTCAATGGATGGTTCACAATAAACAGTTGACTTGCTATTTCTGACTGCGACATTGTACTCCTCACGCTGTTGCTACTCAGTGTCGATCCCAAACAAAGGGGGCATGTGCACACTCGACGGCTAATTGTCACACAGGAACGAACACGTTTACAGCCGTGATCCAAATACAGCTCTAACGACTAGTACTCAAAGCCCGGTGGTCTTGATACCTCTTTCCCGACATTTCGCAAAACGGCAATAAATACACTAGTGGTTCATCAAATTCTATAGCGGATAAAATCCTGATGGAGGAGTAATGTAGCTCAGTTGCCATTGCAACTATTAAATTCCAATTCACTAGCATATAAGACATGTTAACTTAATTCTATCTTGAGGTACCTTTATGACGGTTGACATAGTTGGCAGCTTAGCCTCAAAAGAGTGTTCCTAAATATTAAGAAATGTTTTAAAACTATATGCACTGCAGCTGCCCCATATATTCAGAAACGTTTCGGGATATTTTTACAGTGTACTGCAATGGATGCATAAGTTATAAATGTTATGTTCGAAAATTTATAACTTAAACATATGAAGTGTTAGAAGCTAATATGCAAGTTGATGAAAAGCTTTTAAATAAACAAAATTGCATGGAGTGTTGCTGGCGATAAATATAAGAGGAAAAGAAGAAGTGATAGTATATTTACATTATCACGTGACGCACTGAAGTCAAGCTTGTCTTCTCTTATTCGAATTTTTTTGTTCTGAATCGTTAAAACAATCGATTGCGGTCAATATAAATATAGGACATTTTACACAATAAAAATAGGTATACTTCAGTTTAAAAACACGAATTTAACATTAAATTTTATAGTTTTTTCTTTTTAAAAGAGGCTAAAACTTCGGTTGATTTTCATTGTTAAGATAGTTAAAATTTGTGCTGAAATCTATACAAGAGAGATGAAGGAGAAAATTTTTCTGCCTGAGTTCAAAATTATTAATTCAATTGAATATCTCTGGGATTGCAAGATGTAGCTTCTTCAAGTGCTGCAAGCATTGTCCAACAGAACCACGCTGATTTTCTGCTAGAAGATGAATGCCCCCCCCCCACCACCGAGATTTCTGAATTTTATTTCATTGAATTGTTTCTGGTGAAATACATGTTATCGAAACTTAATGGTGGTATGCTTATTATTAGAAGGAATTACATCTCGACCCTATAAAAACGGGCTTGTAATATTAAAAAGTAACATTAAAGTAGCATTAGTAGCATCCAGCTGCAATACACTTGTGCTGGGTCCGATAAAATACTTTTACTGGTGGACCTTTTTTTTGGCAACATAGGAATGATGTGCATCATCATCATCATAGTTGGCCAGATAGCCCAGTGTGGGTCAATGCTTTCCTCTGAAGATTTCTTCACAACGACTTCTGATTTAACTTTGCTCTTCAATTCTTTTCACTAATGTGTAGAGCAGAAAATAACGCTAGTGCTTTTTATCTACTGAAAATTGTTAATAAGAATGCATGCTAAAACAAATGCTGTTTCACATTTGCAGTTTCGGAAAAAGATTTTATTTATATCATAGTGCCGATTTTTATGTTAAGAATTTTTCAATAAATGTCTTACGCTGTATTTGAATCATTTGGTGTTTAAACTTTATATTATTCGCACAGAGCCCTCTGAAGTATATTTCTTACTATATTCTTGTGTATGTTACTGTCAATTTAACGAATGTCGGGATTCTATAAAATGTTTAGTCCTTAAACATAATACAGAATCGAATGACTCGTCTAACCTAGTGTTTAGTCATTAGACATTCCTCAGAATGCTTAAAGTCAGGTCATTAAACATTCTCCTAAATGACTGTAGTTTTTTCTTCAGTTGTTTGAGAGGAACTTGGAAATGTTTGAGACACAAATCATTTAATATTTTACTGGTAGATTTTAGTCTTTCAATAAAATAACTAGACATTTTAAATGCTAGATTTCGCACATTGACGAGTAACATAAATATGCATTTTTTTTAAAACTTTAGGTAACATTTTAATAAAATTTCCAGGTGCATGTAGTTCCTCCATTCATACTCGTATAAACAGTTAGCAGAGGGATATAAATAGATAAAGTAGATAATATATACCCCATTAATTTAGAACACCCGATTCCTATTTAGGTATCATAAGAGTTGAATTTCAATCACCGAGTTTTTTATTAGTCACATTATAAAACCCTTAATTCTGATAGTCTAATCTACAAAGATATATTTGAGTATTTATTGGAAAGTGATGCATTTTTCCTGTAAAAAAAAACATAATATAATCTAATATACGCTTCTTTCAGGGTCTTCCTGGAGCTCCCGGAATTCCTGGATTCCCGGGTGAGCGGGGACTGCAAGGATTACCAGGTATTCAAGGGCCACGAGGAGAATCCGGAGATTCCGGTATACCGGTAATTATGCCATATTGTCAATAACAGTGTATCGCTTTATGAACTAAATTTGATTTTTTTTCTTTGTAATATTCGTAAATTTCTAATGGCAATGAAAAGTGTAGAATTACTAAACTGGAAACAAATAATAAAAATATCTATGTACAAGACTGACCGAAATCATTTCCCTAAAAGTTCTTTACAGTTCTAAGCGCAATCTCAGAGTTGCTAAAGAATGATGTATCATATTTTATAGATGGACATGGTCTCAAGTTATTGAATATGCTGTAATATAAAAAAGACGGTCATCATTTCAAAAATATTTCAATGCTACGTTCTGAAAAAAATTACAGTAAAACGTAACGGTACTCATGATGCCGGTATTTTTAAAGTAAAATCCCGTTTTACTGCAACATTACGGCACAAAAAATAAGATATATTCTAAATCTTATAGAATAATTAAATACCTGTATTACTGTAACTAAATAAATACTACTCTAAAAATGTCACTTTAATATTTTACGATAAAATGGATTTTATGGATGATACTTTCTACTATAATTTGATTCATAATCTTTTACAGTGTGTAAATACTTTTTCGGCATTATTGTAAAGACAGCCACTTTTTGAAAGAATTTGAAGATGTGATGGTTATAATTTCTCAGTAATACAATGAAGACAGCCATTTTTGGAAAGAATTTCAATGTGATGGTTATAATATATCAGTAAAACAATGATGATAGCCATTTTTGGAAAGAATTTCCATGTGATGGTTATAATTTCTCAGTAATACAATGAAGACAGCCATTTTTGGAAGGAATTTCAATGTGATGGTAATAATTTCTCAGTAATACAATGAAGACAGCCATTTTTGGAAAGAACTTTAATGTGATGGTTATAATTTCTCAGTAATACAATGAAGACAGCCATTTTTTGAAAATAATTCCAATGCAATGGTAATAATTTCTAGGAAATAAGAAGATCGCTGCAACCTTTTGAAAAAACTCCAATCGATAGTAATACAATCTAAGTGATAAAAAGAAGTCAACCATCTTTTGAAAAAAATCCAATGCGAGGGTAATGCTTTCTTAGAAATCAAAAGATGGCAACCATCATCATCACGACGTTTTTTGTTTATAGTACTTCTCAATTTTCAGAATAAATTGCCGTATAGTACTTTTTTAGCTGGATTTTAAATGGCTACAGATCTTCGTTAATATTATGACCAACTAAGAAGTGGAAGTACAATATTTTATCCAGGAGAGCTCACTGAATTGCAGATTGCTTGATGTTATAATGGTTTAACTTTTCTCACTAATACTACACCACAATGGAGGTTAATTGTCAATAATTGCAAAAACTTCCCTCAGTGTTTTTCTGTGCAGCCAGAATCGAAAATGGTGTGGGATATCAAGATAAATTAATCGAACTTCGTAATTATTGCTTCAGACTTATGATTTAGAAGCACTCAAAAATTGACATGGAAAAGTATAAAATCAAAATAGATCGCATATTAATAGAATTAAAAAATAAATGAATAAATTAAGCAAAAACTTAGCTTTTACAACTAATTGCAAACATATCTTTATAATTGTCTTTATTGCTCTTCCATTTCACATTATTAACTGATTTTTACATTTGAAATCTTACTTTCACTCTAATTAACGTCACTAATCATTCGTCAGGATTTGTATTCAGGATATATATATATATATATATATATATATATATAAACAGAACTCATTAGATAAGTTCAAAATGAAGATAAAACAAAGAAAAGTATAGACATATGAAAAAAGGGGGGAAATAATAAATAAAAAAATAGCAAACAACAGTTTAAAAAATAATAAAAAAAGGATGACATTTTATTTAAAAAAACCGGAAAAAAAGATATAATCTTTTCATCAGCTCACACGATTCTGTTTTGCAGATATAATCGTGTGGGCAGATGAAAAGATTATATTTTTTTTTTCGGTTTTTTTTAAATAAAATTTCATCCTTTTCTTTTTTAAACTGTTGTTTGTTATTTTTTTACTAATTATTTCCCCCCTTTTTTCATATGTCTATAATTTTTTATTGTTTTATCTTCATTTTGAACTAATATATATATATAAATACCGAAAGGAAAAATGATTATATTTGTGTGTTGGAAATTTGATTCAGAGGGTTTAAATGCATAATAATTTATTTGATGAGTACGATTCGCTTATAAGTTGTGACCATTCAAGTTCTGTTTGTCTCTATTTTTGTGATTAAGCACAAGATTAATATCAACCTCTTTAGTTATAATATATACATATATATATTATGGATTTTTGAACTAAACTAATTAGGAGTTTTCAACATGAGACGCATAATCGTTTTCTTATTCATAATAAGTACGGGTTTCATTTCCCTTAAATACTTTGAACTATCTTTTCATTTTCCCTAGATCCCTTTAAACTATCTTTTCATTCTCCTTAGTTGCTTTAAACTATATTTTATCCTCATTTCTATTGTTTTTACATCAGATTTAGATTAGAAACAGAGAATATTAACCAAAATACAGGAAACAGAGAAAAGTTTTTTTTTCTAACTTCTAAACCAACTCAGCTTTTATTTATAAAGGTTTTAGATAATATTGCAATAGATTTTGTGCAATTGGGTAAGTGATTTTTATTAAGGATTTTTATTAATTTCAATCCGATTGTCTAAAGTTTGTTTTATTTGTTTGTTGGAAATTGGAGCTAAAATGTTCAATGGTCTCATTTATTTGTTTGTTGAACATGATTAGTTTATAAACGGTAGCAATCCAATTTGTTGTTCTCCTCTATTCGTGGAACATAATAATATTAATCTTTAATGAAATGAACAGTATGAAATTATTGAAGTAAATAAATCTAAAATCTTTAACAGGAAACTCGTATTCGTTTTTTTTTTTTGCATGTAAATACGGGTTTTATGATCCCAAAGTGCTTAAGAGTATTTTGTCTCTTGATTATTTTTTCAAAAACTCAGATTTAGTTTACAAAATTGTTTTCGTTACCTTACATGCGTACCGTTATTTGAGTTTTAAACGAGATTTTGTGAAATTAAATCCAGTCCGTATACATGCACACATATATGAATTTCCAAATTTTATCAACCGTGAAAATAATGCTTCAAGGAATTAAATTTAGATCATTGAATCGAAATGTAGCTTAAAAGTTTTGTACATTGTTAATAATAATTTACGTTTGACACAGTACTGAACTAACGTTGAGAAATAAAGTATTACCGTGCGAGTGTGCATAACTTGCATAATTCAGAGCTACAGTGCNTATATATATATATTCTAAAATTATGTGATTAGTAAAAATTTTATTTATACCTATTATCAAATTGAGTATTCAATATCTTTTTAAGTTATACGTATACTATACTAAATCATCAGTAAATCAATTTTTTATGTTAACTTTGTCCAAGTATTGATTTTATCAAAATATTTGATAAGTGATATTCTTAAATGATTATGAAAAATTATTTTGCAGTAAAAACTTTAAAAGTTAGCCAAATAAATTGTTTAGTTTAGAATTGGGAATGGAAAATCGCTTACAATTGATTTATTTTGAAAAAGAAATAAATGGTATTTTTTAGAAAAAAATCTTCCTTATTCAATAGTTTCACACTTTTGAGCTCATACAGGCGCCTTGTCATGAACTTCGAAAAATGGTTTGCGGACGTCCTGAATAAATATGCTTCGTAATTTTTATTTGAATATTTCAAACAGTCTATAGTCACGTTTGAGTTTAATAAGATTGAAGCTGATTTTAATATATTTGCATTCAAATATTGGAAATGCATGCAGAAGATAACCCTACTGAAATATACTTTTTGAGAATTTGAAGTTTCCTCGATCAGAAAAAGGCTGGAGAAAAAAAATACTTTTATGTGAGAAAAGAATTTAAGGGAAAAAGGAATATAAGGGAAAAATAATTTATGTGATTTTTTTGGAGGGGGGGGGGAGAAATTAATTTATGTAAAAATTAATCTACGTGAAACATGATGCTGAAAATGAATTTCTGTAGAAGCATTTAAAACGAAAATGAAATTGATGTAAAACAAAAATCTAAAAATATATTTATGTAAAAACATTTAAAATAAAAATGAAATTGATATAAAATAAAATAATAAAAATGAATTTATATAAAATATTAAAATGAAAAATGGAATTTTAGTGAAAAACGAATATGAAAAATGAAGTTTAAATGAAATATAAAGGAAAAATAAATATTCTCGCTACAATGAAAATAGAATTTAATTGAAAAAAAAAATTAGAAAGGTGAAAAAAATCAAGCAAAAATTTAATTTAGGCAAAACATGTATTAAAATAGAAAAAAGAATTCATACGTAAAATACATTTTGAAAAGAGGGGAATTTAAGTAAAAAATGAATTGAAGTAACAAATTGAATTTGAGTGAAAAAAACAAAATGTAACTAAAAAAAAATACGTAAGGAATAAGTTAAATGGAACAATTAATTTAAATATAAAGTGATTGTTGTTACAATTAGATTTAAACAAAAAATTCTTGTCAACTGAAAATGCTTTAAGGAAAAAATTCAAGTAAGAAATAAGTTTTAAAAAAAGACTTTTTTGTGAAGAGGGAATTTTAGTGAAAAATTAAAATGCAAATGTAATGTAAGATGAAATTTAAATAAAATTTGAAAAATTAATTTAAGAGAAAATTAAATTAAGAGAAGCGTGAATTAAGCGAAAAATACATTTAAATGAAAAATGAATCTCTAAATTTAATTAAATATTATATTAAGGTGAATTTAATTCATGGTTTGTGAATTAAGAATTTAGTATAATGGGGAAAACTATCACTAGAAATTAAATAGGATAAATTAAGGAAAATAAATTGAGAAATTGTTAATTTGAAGATTTGAAGAAGAATTATTAAACTAAGTTAAAAGTAAATTTAAGCAAAAAATGACCTCCGATTTTAAATAAATAGTTTTAAAAGTGTTTACTTTTTACTTCTTTTGATTTTCAAAACCAAAATATCCTAACAAAAAACTATTTTAAACTAAATTATACATCTTAAGAACCATACAACTTAATATCTATGCATAATCTTTTAATGATTAAAAATATGTATTCGAATTCTGTGAGGCTTTAAAAATATGTTTTTTATTCATGAAATGATTAGAAAATTACTGGTTTAAATTCTTGAAAAAATATTTATATATTTACACTTTTTGTAATGTGAATTTACAAATTTTTGACAAGCTTGAAATCAATCATTGCTTAAAAAAACAAGTTTGAAATCAATCATTTTAAATGGTTAAAAAAATAAACAAAAAATTGATGGAAAACTTTAAAATTATTTTACTAAACATAATATGTATTGTAACGGTTATGGAGAAATACGTTTTCTCATATTAAGCATTAAATAAAAAATTTTTGTTATAATTTCTATTAGTACAGATAATGAGTCCTTTCAAATCATTAAAAAATTCATCAGTATCATTCTTCAAATTGTAAATAGTTTTAAACTATTCAAATTTCTTTATGAAAAGTGTATTTACAGCTATAAATTATGTTCATACGCATAATGCTCTCGAAGAACAACTTTAAAGTCTAGCGGTCACAGCTTATTTTAATTTATCTATTTATCTTTTTTAAAAAAAAAGAATTCCAAGCATAACTCAATAGTGTCTGTTAAATAAAATTAAATAAAGTAAATATTAAATAAAGTAAATATTAAATAAAGTAAATATTAAATAATTCTATAACAAAGGAATCACTGTAAGCATATACGGGTATGCTTCTATAATCCCTTTCGAAAATGTGTTTTATAATCTTTACGTGTTTATGTGTTCTTATAATTCTTCTTTTTAAAGAAAATTGCAAAGAAAATTTTTTTTAAATAAGTATCGTAAAATTATATTTCTAAAATAAATAAAATCCCAAACCTTATCGAAATTTGAAGCATTCTTATTAAGGAAGAAATGATAAAAAGCATTAAATCTTCCTTGATTATTAATAGAACTTTGAAGTTGTTCCCAATCTTTTTTTCTTTCATTTCAAATTCTCCTGCTTTTTTTGGTATTGAAAACAAGTTTTTTGCACTCGCATTTCCTTTTAATGATTTATTAAGATTTTCCTCGCTTAAATACTGACTTTTGACCTCCAATGTGCCATTTTTTTTTCAACAAGAATTCTAAAAATTTATATTTAAAGCAGTATATATCTGTTCTTAAGATGGTTGTAGCGGAATATCATGTTTTATGAATTAGAGTTTTTTAAATTTTTTTATGCTTTTAATATGTTTAATTCCAGTAATATTTTTTAATTTGCATATCTTCATTTTATTTCAGGGTCTACCAGGACCAATAGGACCCCCAGGACCCATTGGACCTCCTGGAAGAGCAGTATGCATATCGTATTTTTTCATTGTTCAACAAATCTATAAGAAAAATTAATTATATGAATATTTAAAAAATTGTTGTTTTTTTCATGTTATGATTTATTAGTCTTCTAGTATTAGATTTTAAGGACGTGGAGGATATTTCTTAAATAAATTCATCTCCCAAGCAGTAAGTATTTAAATGAAAGTGCTTAAAAGTGACAAAATATAAATAAAGTGTATAAATAATAATTACTTGAAGGACAGAAGCAATTGGAACGATTTAGTTCAAACTTTCTATTTTGTTAGTTTGTTTCATCTCAAGGAACTGTTTAATAAATTCCTTTTTAGCTACTGGAACATCTGAATAATTTTTGAACATACGCAAAACTATGTACAAAATTGTTTCCTCTGGCATCAAGGCAAAAAAAAATTTTTTTTTAACTTATGCTTACATGCGTGTTTTTCAATTTAGATAACTTTCTCAAGAAAACAAACTTTCCACTATAAAACAAATGAATAATATTTAAAAAAAATGTGTATTTTTGTTTCGTTTAAAAAATTCTTTTGAAAAGCTCAATTTCTTATGCATTTAATTTTGTTTTTTAGTTTCATGATTTTTAAAACTTTTAAAATTGCATTAATAAAAATTGGTCTTTCTTATTATAAATTAGGGTATACCAGGATTGAGAGGCGAGTCAGGATCACCTGGACAGCCAGGGCTCCCAGTAAGTGTCATTTTTTTTAAATTTAACAAATTCAATCAATGAATGATGTGACGCAATTTCAAAATGAACGAAATAGCGAATACAATGTAACAATACTTGTTGAATTTTCTAGTATCTACGAATATTGTAATACATGAGCTAACTTTTCTTTTTTCATACTGGATGCTTGTTAAGTACAATATGTGCGTAATGCATATTATTAATTCATAATATATATCTACAAAGAATATTTTTAAAGTATGGTGAGTATATAAAACTTATTTGTGATGGGTATATTGTATATTTGTAATGTGTAATCTGAATTCTATGGACGTCAAAATATTAATGTAAAGTATACATGAAATATAGCATCGGTAACTTAAAAAAAATTTGTAAGCAAAATAACTTTACTAAAGGTAGAAATTTCGAGTTTAAAATCTGCTATTTTCTTTAAAATTTCAAAACTCTGCATCATCATGCAAATATTAAACCATCTAATTCGCATTAGTTTATTTAAGCCACAAGACTCTTATAGCTAAATAAAGGGTGCAGTAATTATGGTCCTTAAAAAAAATATCTATCCTGAAACTACGTTCAGAGAATTCTCCCAAAACCAATCGTTAGTATCGAACAAAAGTAATGACTAGTTCTTTTATCAGTAGTTATTTTCAATTTGTTAATGGTTGTCAATTCTTGTTACTGAAACTTTTTTAATAAACAAAAAAGTATTTTATGTTGGTAACTTAAATAGTCAATGATTGCGAATTACGTAAACAAAAAAAACTTACAAGTTCACGATATATTTATCAGCTTCTGAAATCATGCAACTTATTTTTCTTTTATTCTCCCAATAACGATAATTATCATCCAAGAAAAGTAATGACTAGTGCTTTCATCGGTAGTTATTTTCGATTTGTTAATGGTTGTCAATTCTTGTTGCTAAAACTTTTGTAATAAACAAAAAAGTATTTTATGTTGGTAACTTAAATACTCAATGATTGCGAATTACGTAAAAGAAAAAACTTACAAGTTCACGATATATTTATCAGCTTCTGAAATCATGTAACTTATTTTTCTTTTATTCTCCCAATAACGATAATTATCATCCAAGAAAAGTAATGACTAGTGCTTTTATCGGTAGTTATTTTCGATTTGATAATGGTTGTCAATTCTTGTTGCTAAAACTTTTGTAATAAACAAAAAAGTATTTTATGTTGGTAACTTAAATACTCAATGATTGCGAGTTACGAAAAAAAAAACTTACAAGTTCACGATATATTTACCAGCTTCTGAAATCATGTAACTTATTTTTCGTTTATTTCAGGGAGCGAGGGCAGAAAAAGGAGATCCAGGACCACCAGGAGAACCAGGAACACCAGTATGTAATAAACAAATAAAATAAAACTTTTTATATGTTATATTTAATATAAAAGTTTTAAAGTAATAAATATATACAAATATTCAAATCCACATTTTTTTAGAGTAAAAAACTGTTACTCACAGATTATTACAGTGTCACAGTATTACAGTATCAAAATCTTTCTGATTCATATTCAGAACTCTGATTCACTTAAAAAGATATACTCATTAGAACTTGAAAAGTAATGTATAAGTTATGAAAAAAATTAAAAATAGGATAGTCATTTACGGAAAATAACTATTGCGAAAGTAGATTTAAATTCATTAAAAAAAAACAAGTAAAATAAAATGATGTGAAATGTGATACTTTTTTAATATTTTTTTTAGTTTTATCTCACAAATAAACTGCTTTTGCTTATTTTAATCTTGTTTTCATTGTTATTAACTTCGGTAATGATTTGTCACTTTTTCGATTATACTTAAGTATTTTGAGCCTCTTTTAGTTTTTTCTATGAGTAAGAGTATTTAATATTACATTACGTAATATAATATGGGCGTACTTCTAATTTTAGTTTTGACGAGAAATCGTATAATGTAAAGACGCAGAATATGGAATACCTAGTATAATGTTATTACAATATCTTTAAATTTTGTTTCATTTTAGGGTTTTCCAGGAACCATGGGCCCTAGAGGACCACCAGGTGTTCCAGGAGATGCAGTAGTTGTAAGTATATGATCATAAAATAATATAAAGTATAATAATATTAAATTATTAAATTTTACTGGGCTCAGCTGCAAGTTACTTTTTATAGATCGCTATTAGGTTTTATAATAAAACTTATTCTTAAAAATATTGACTTAAATCGTATTTTTATATCAAACATCATCAATGGCTCGACAGCCTAGACTGCTCTTTGGCTTTCTCAAGAAGTTTTTTCCATGCTAGTTTTTGGTAGTGTTTTCCAATTTTTAGTTTTTAAGATCATCTCAAATTCGCCCTGCCTCTTTTTCGTGTGCCAACTGGTCTGGCAGTGAAAACTCTTTTTGTGGTACGGTCTTCGTCCATTCTGATAACGTGGCCTGCTTATTTTATTCCTTGTCTTTCAATAAAGTTAATAATGTCAGGTTCATTATATGAGTGATAAATCTCCAGATTTGATCTTCTAAGCCACACATAATTTTTTGAATTCCTTTAAAAATACTTATCAAGACTTTTCTCTCAAAGGTATCCAACATATCCTCATTCGTACAAGATATGGTCCACGTTTCACAAGCATATGCTAAAACTGATCGTATAAGAGATTTATGTAATAAAACTTTCGTTTTTCTATGAATTATATTAGATTTTATGTATTTTCGAATATTAAATGTTTTTCTTTATTAAAAATACTAATTTTACTCGATATTGAATATTATGTACCAATATTATTATTTTGGCAATATAGTTTTTTTTTACATGCTTTTCCTTTGTACTGTGTCTTTATATTCGGAAGACATAGCATAAAAATAAATATTTTATGAAAATATTATAAATATTTAATTTGCGTGCATTTGAAGAATTAAGCAAATTATACAATAATATGTATATGTTGTGGTGCATTTCGATTAGTGCAGTTTCAATATGAATAAAACCTTTAAGTTTTCGTAAGTAATTGTTTTAAAAATAACTTACAATGAAACAATGCTACTTTCATCATTCATTTAATATTCGTTATTATTCAGGAAATTCTTTATTATTTTCGTAGGTAGAAGGACAACCAGGACCACAAGGAGATCCCGGGCCAATGGGTCCTCAAGTAAGACGATATTTTACTACAAAATCTAATCTTATTTTTATAATGCTTAATATTTATCATGTCATTAAATATTGTTTAAATTAGATTTAACGTTGCAGAAGAATTATTATTTTATGGCGAACTCTAAATAAGAAATCTAAATTTTTTTCCTGAATACATACATAGTACATTCGGAATAGATACAGGAATTTCATTAAGTAGTAAAAAACACACAATTGTATGCCAAAAATAATGTTTCCTTTTTTATAGTACAATTTAAAAGCAATGAAACATTTTTTTAAAATATATTTGGAGAAGTTTATGAGGTGTCTATAATTTTACTGTGCACACTATTTTCAGTTTATGGGTGATTTTTAATGCAAAAAAAGGATTCATTTCTCAGACATGATTACTTAGAATATTGATTGCTTGATTTGGTAATAAATCATACAGCTGAAGTTATTGAGTCATGAGTATAAGAAATTATAGTATACATTCCGTCAGAAGCTAGTCTTAAACAAATTGATCTCAAAACAAACATTTTAAATAATTATGCTAATTCCTCTGCCACATCAAATATTTAAAATAATTAATAATTAACATAATTGTGACACCTGTACATTATAAGACATAATTTTAAAAAATTAGTACATTAGTTCTAAAATAACGGAAAGATGAATACATTATTTTATGAATGGAGGAAGATTGGTAGCGCTTCACGCTTCCTTGCCCCAGCTATTGAGTTCTATTCTGGAACCCGGCACGGCTCACTCAGACTTTTCTTTCTTCAGTGGGTCGATAAAATGAGTATCAAGCATTCTTAGGGACAAAACACTTAGGGTTCCACTTTCAGCTAACCACCCAACCAGAATATCTGCTCTTACATCGCAAGAGCCCAAGGTTAAGAAAACTGGAATGGGCTAAGTAGGCCGTGGCCGTCTACGAGCTGTCGCACGCCACTGAGTTTAGTTTTTCTTTCTGAATATCGTAAATGTTTCTTTTTTTCTGTCCCATCTTAGATTTCTCGTGCAGTATTGTTTATGTGTCGTAAATATGTCCCTTCGATCGTCTTGCTTTTACAACTTACTATATTAATAATTACACTGGGAAACAAGTTGTTTGTTGCTTTTATACAAATACTTGAACTAGCCTAATTGAGGTGTGGTGTTTCAAATTTGAAATTAGTTTTGCGCCCTAAGCTACAGATATTTTTAATGGCATTTTTAGTCCTTATTTTGTCAAAATGTGCAAGCTAAAAAATACCCCGACAAACTTTAAGGGGAGTAAGAGCGAATAAACAGGATTAAAATTGCACAGGAACCTATGTCCGAAAATGTCGTCATATGGGCGCTTCTCCATTAGAAGCTGCTTCTTCATACGCTTTTGAACAGGTCATAATAGGGATGTTCACTTATCCGCATACGACAACGCTTCCGGGCATGATTTCATATATATATATATATATATATATATATATATATATATTTTTTTTTTTTNTTCTATACAAAAAATAAATTTCCTTATAAATAATTGTACATTCAAAGGACTATTTCTAACCAGCTTTTGCTCTTTTATCTATCAAAAAAAAATCTCTTTTTTATATTAAATTTAAAATTGTTGCTAGCAAGCCACTTAATCAAATCATTATGTTTGCTGTAACTATTTTTTTCATTATTTCAGCAAATATTTATTAATTATAATACAATACAATAATTATTATTTTTATCATTTCAATAGAGCGAGCCTAAATAAAAACAAGTTTTTTTACAATCAAAATTAGCAAGTTCTATTTAAAGAATGAGCTTCATTAGAAATTATGAAACATTCTAGGCATTATGCCTTTTTATGATATATATATATATATATATATAAAAAATTGAAAAAATACAATAGCTTGGAGAGAGAAATTGATTGCATATTCGTAATCAACGATATGGAAATATCTAAGATCCGTTAGAAAATATCATGCAATATATGAAAAATTGTTCCCCACTATCAATTAAAAATACATTTTTTTATTGCATTTACACTATTATTAAAATAGGTATCACTAGAAAGCAGTTGTTACAAATATACGCTGTTATTACAAATAATGTCTTAAACAAGTCTAAAAGTCATTGGCGCATTCAATAACTGCTATTAACTACAAGTACTTCTAGACAGAATATCTTCGTTTACAAAACAATGAGGAAAACTATTCATAATTACACGTAAAAATAAAACTTCCCTCTCAATAGATTTATTCAGCAGCAACAGTTCACCGTATTTATGAATTGCTGGAATAGTTATTTATCAGCGAGTCGAAACTATTCAATCGTGCTCAATGACGCAAGATGGGGACGATTCTGGGATTCATTACCTTTCCTCTGAGGGACTCGAAGATAGGTCCTCGCTCATAAGGAATTACAGAACACGGGAAATTGTAATCGATTGCTCCGTGTTTGGCGTGTATAAATGCATTGAGATCACATCCTGATCTGCCCTGTCCACGTATCATTGACCACCGTTGGCACTGTTGGCGAAATACTCTGATATATTTCTGCTTGATGGAGAGATCACTGTACTGGTCATTGACTGGGACAGGATAATTGATGAATAATAATTTAGAGACGTATATCTTTTCCTAGACTTGGAACAATAATATTTTACAAAGTGTTTCGTGTTATAACCGAGTTTTTATGTAGAATTAGAGTAGGCAAGTGCTGGAAGTATATTATTTTCGAGAACTTAAAGATGCGTTTAAATAATGTAAGCTTTCCGAAATAATAATGTATTATAGGATGCACTATACAAGGTGTTGAATAAAAAATTGCTTCTATTCTGTATTTTTATAAAAGTTTTAAAAAATGGTACAAAGTGGGTGTCGTAATTTATTATTAATTCAAGGAAGCAACTGTCTTTTCAACTTTGTCAAGGAGACAACATTACGAAACACCCTATATGGTAGAAGAGTAAATATAGAATGGAGATTTTATTTATATTTTAATTAAAAATAATATATTCAATTATAAAAACTAGAAATATTAATTTTTAGAAATTTTTCTATTTTATAATTGAAAAATAGTTCTAAAGATAATTATAGAGCATTATTTGTATACTCCTTGTATAGTACATCAGCATAACAATTTAAACTATTCATTTATTTTTTTAAAATTTATATGTGATCAGGTAGCCTCTCTCTTTATAAGTTAGATTTGTGAGATCATTTGTATTCGTTACGATATTTTTTGTGATAATATACTATGTTTAAGATAACAAAAACTTCTTACTATAGATACATATTTTTGCAAATTTTTCTTATTCATCTAAATATAAACTAAACTAAACGTCAAACAATAATAAAAATAATTATATTTTTGAAGAATGAAATATAAACGGTATAACACTTATATTATAAAGATTCATGTATTTTCTTTTCTTTTTTTTTATCTAGGGGGAGCAAGGACTGCAAGGCTTACCAGGTATTCCAGGATTTCCTGGTAAAAAGGTAATTCTCTTGACCTTTTAAGAAAGGCCATATTTCACACGTCAATACTTTCTTTAAATCGGAACAAAGAAATATCAAAATATAACTAGGTTATTAAAATAATTAATAATCTATTTTAGTTGAAATGTTACTTTAAAATCTCTAACGCATTAAAAAATAAAGTCACTGAGAATAAAAGTGAAACCAAACAGATATCAAAATAAGATTAGGTTATTAAAATAATAATTAATCTATTTTATTTGAAATGTTACTTTAAAATCTAAGACTCTTTAAAAAATATTAAGTCACTGAGAATAAAAGTGAAACCAGACAGATATCAAAATAGGAATATGTTATTAAAATAATAATTACTCTATTACTATTATATTTTATTTGAAATGTTACTTTTAAATCTAAAACTCTTTAAAAAATATTAAGTCACTGAAAAAATAGAAGTGAAACCAGACAGAAATTAAAATAAATAATAATCTATTTTATTTGGAATGTTACTTTAAAATCTCAAACTCTTTAAAAAAATATTAAGTCACTGAGAATAGAAGTGAAACCAGACATTGTTACAGACTTTTAATTCCTTGATCTGTCTTTCAAATCAATCTCTGAAATAAAGTGAATTTAAAAGTGTTTTAGTTGGTGAACTGGCATTTTAAGATTCTAAAAAATATTTTGAAAAAATCTGAAAGTAATTTCTGGGGACATAATCTCTTTTCTCTAATTTATTATTAAAAATGTTAAAATTAAGATTATTTGAAAAATTTTGACATCCTTTTCTTTCCTTCGAACAAATTTAGCTAATATTTTAGTTTTTGTTTTTCAGAAAACTAGTAAACAAAAAATTTTGAGACCAGGATTTTTTTTAACTCACTGGTGCTTTTTTTACAGGGCGATACAGGACCACCTGGAGTAGCAGGACCAGAAGGAAAGAGAGGTTTTCCTGTATGTTTATTTTATTATTCTTATTATAATTATAATTTTTCTTTGAAAAATATTCAATGGACAGTATGCTAATTTTAGAATATTTTTTTTTTACTCTAAACTGAAAAAAAGAGTTCTTTTTTAAATTAAAACATTTATTAAATTCTACCATTCCCAGTTTGGTGATTGCAGAGTCAGGTTTCATTTTCTTTATTATTAAAACCTTGATAACAGCCTAATATAATTACAATTTGTATATTATATTAAGCTGTTATCATATACAGGTACACATGTTGTTCTGTGCTGACAATCCTCGAAAAATATTTTTATGATATTCTTCAAAAATGAAGCGAAAAAGAAATGTCTGCACTATAAAAAAGATCCGGATCAATTTACGGTTTAAAGTATATGGATGCATCTTCCGTAAAATCCATTTTTAACGTAAAATATTATACCATAATTTTTACAGTAACATACAATTAATAAATATAATTAAATATTATTATTTAATTAAATTAGAGATATTCGATGATTTTACGGTAATTATTGCTGTAAAAATTTTTTGGCGGTTTATTAGTTTTTTTGTTCCGTAACATATTCCGATGAAAATTAGATAATGCGGTGAAAAATACCGTCAATCTGAGTGCCGGTACTTTTGGATGGAGCTTGAAGCATCAATGTCTGTTTGATTACATAAAAGGAGCTAAAAGGTAGTTATTCAAAACAGCTTCAGGATTTATCAGCACCTCGTTTTGCCGATTTTAAGTGTGATTATTGTTTCATCGCATTTTCGATGAGGATTTTGGAATTATATATAAATGGTAGTCGTTATTGAAGACCTTGTAAAGGATAACCTAGTATATAACAAGAGATTTATTTGCTTTTTTATGTATGTTTTTAGGGTGACAGAGGAGAATCTGGCCTTCCAGGACCTCAAGGACTACCTGGATTACCGGTACGAAAATCAAATTTCATAAATAATACACATTGTATAATTTTTTTAAAATCAAAATTAGCAATTTCTATTTTATTCTTTTTATTGAATATTATGCAGTTTACATAGAAAATTATTAGTTATTAATATTTATAGTAAGCAATCGCAAGCAATTAGTTATTAATATTAATAGCATCAGGCAATATATGCAATTAAAATAGCAAAATTTTTTCCCGACATGGAACATGTAGAGTGTTCTAAATTAGGCTGACGGTCTTCCAAAATATACAACGTTAGTTAAGGGGAAGAATAATTTTTGTAACAAACTCGCGAGTCAAGACAGAAATTTTCCACTCAAAAATCTTAGATTCAGTACAGAAATTTTTCAACAGATGGCGCAGTAGTGTTTTGATGTATTTTTTGCTCTCCGATTATAACGCGATTGTGAATGATCATGGACATTTCCGACTATATAATTTGGTGATTTTCAAAAATTAATTGCTTGGTAAGATTGATAAAGGTAATTTTGAGTACCTTTTATTTGAATTACAGGTTTACTGCCTTCAGCGCCATCGGTCAAAATTTTTTAAAATTATAAACAGGGAATCAGGAAAGAAAATTATTTTCTGTACCACATGAATTTACATGAAATATATGATAATTATATATTTTGAAATTTAGCCAATTTTGTTGTTATAAACTTTTACCAAACTATCAGTTTAGATTAAAACACGCTTTTTATAGTTGTATATTAATAAAATGCCAACTGAGTTTCATTTAATATGTTAATTTTACGAAGAAAAAAAACTCTCAAAAAAGCAAAACGTTTGAATTGTTTTAAATTTTTTTTTCTCTCTTTTTTTTTTCTTTTTTTTTTACGATATAGTTTCGCAAACATATCTTCCATATAAAATTCTTCTTTTCAAAATATTACAAAGTACTTTTTGGTAGTTTTTGATTTTTAAAGTCGAGTAGTACTCCTAACTATCTTTATCATATTCAAGTACTATTTCACTTGAATTTTGTCATTTCGAAAATCTTCAGAGCGAGAAACAATGTTAACAAATACTGTGGAATCAAAATTAAAATTTTTTTGAATTAAAAAATAGTTAAGTAAAATTTAATCATTTCGTCACTGTCAATAATATAGAATTTTGTTAAAAATTTTAAATGTATCTATTAACTAAATTCCATTATTATTTCAGAAAAATTTGTTCATCTCTGCTTACCTTAAATATTTTTTAATAGTAATAACATTTTTATTTCTGAATAATGATCTAATTTTAATTTCTGAGCTTATATTTCTTTTTAAATTTTAACAACTACTTTGTTGGGGAACATATGGAGCTGACCATTTGGTTCCCGATAATTGTTTGATAGTTAACTATAACATTGTAACTTGTAGATCAACAACATAGAATTAATGCTGCAAAAATCTGTATTATTTTTAGTCTTAAATAGTGTTATTGTTTCAAAAGCATCTAAATAATAAAATTTTCAAGTAAACATTATTATAAATGTATCGTTCATGTGCCGACTTTTCAGTTTTAATTTTCAAATTAAGAACAATTAGAAACACGTTTTTTTAAGGACTTTATTACATTGTTTTATTCTGAAATTACGGTAAAGTAACCGGCAACAGTCTGTTCAAGTAATTAACCGTACAGTTTGAGATAAAGAACATTAAGTTACCTTTAAGGTTTTGAAACCATTAATATGGATAAAAAACATTAGTAGAAAACTATGCAGTTTTTAACCATTTACAGCTAGTATGGTTTCAAAACAGTATTAAAGAAATTTAACTAAACATTGAAGATAGGCTTTTTGTTAGGTAATATGCATTGGAGTTAGTAGTTGAGTTGTGTGTGCGTGTTTTTCTAAATGTACCGTGGAATAGTGTGGTTTAATTAGTCTATCATATTACATTTTTGTGTTAAGCAGCTGCCATCTGAGCATGAATGAGATTATTGTATTCTAATATTTAGTCAAAAACTGGAAAGTGCAGAACATTGGACACTCTTTAAATAAATTGCAAATATTGTGATGTCAACGCTGGGTTTCGAACCCCCCTTTTTGTAAGTCATGAGATTGACAGATGAACCCGCTCGGCTAAAATATGTACCCAACTACTAGAAACTAAGTGGCTTCATTTGCTGGGTCTATTTGGAAGTATAAAATTCTGGTTATTTAACCGTATTAACTGAAAACAGTTAATAAATTGTTTTTCTCACTGATAGTAGTTTGAATATCATCTTATTTATGGTTATTTGACTATTTTGTTTAATTATGGTAAAATAAAAATTAAATAGTTATTTAACTATTTTTGTAAGAAATTTCTGGCAGTGTATTTGAAGAAAATCTAAAAGCTTATATTGTCATTAATATTCTTTTAATTAAAAATAAGTTTGCAAAATTTGCTTTTTTTAACGATGGATAACATTTAATTAATTTTAACAAGTATCGAAAAAAAAATCTGAAAATTACTTTAACTTTAATACAATACAGAAATCCAACTGACATTCATATTTGTTTACATAGCTTGAATAGTCTTTCCAATTTATTTGAATAAAACTTTGGAGGTTCTTCAAAAATGACTTTAGGGACGGCTCGGTGGCAACAAAGCATTACAAAGATGACATTGAGTTTCTCCAGATAATTATTGATTGCATTACAGATATTTGATGATGAAAGAGATTCATATTGAAACAAAAGATCATGGTTACAGTCAGAAACTAAGAATTTCTCATTTAAATTTATTCCAAGCACCATCTCGTTCAAAAATATCTGGAGAATTTCTAGAATTTTCAATAAAATTCTAACATTCATATGAAAATGGAACCAAATTGTCACGGAATGCCTTTAAATCGAACTAAGAAGGAATTTATATATTGATGCAATTTAAACATACGGCTTGGTGAAAGAAATTAGAGCTGGAACCATTTCAATAAATGTATTTTACATAAAATATTGCATTTATGTGTTAAAAAACCATATATCAAAAGTTCTAATAAAAATGATTAATTTAGCAAAAAAATACATCGATCATTTATTGTCGTTCTGTACTTAAATAGTAAAAACAATAATAGCTGTACTTAAAGTACATTACTTTTATTTGAAAGAATTTGTTCACTTATCTTGGCTAAATATTTAACGATAATATTATTATTTCGAAATAAATGAATTTGAGAATACAAAAAGGAAATAAAAAGTATTGCTTATTCTAATACTTATTCAAGAAAAAAACTCATTACTAAAGAAATTAAATTGAAATTTTATTATAAAACAGGTATCAGGTCTTTGGTAAATTACGTTTTTAAAAGCTGGGTTTTGGCGAATAATTAAAAAAATAACTTAATACTTGAAAAAAAATTTTTTTGATCAATTCAAATTTTAAATTCACAGTGAACTAAAATTAGCAAATAAAAAATAAACATCCTCTGATTCGTAAAACTGAGGCGCTTGGCAAGATTAGACCTTACATAAAGAATGAATGAAAAAATGAAGAACAAGCGGAATTGGAAATCAATGAACTCGAGGCTCAAAGGAAGACCCAAAAAGAGTTTACTAAAATACCAGTGCAACCATGACTAACCATGGTTATTCATGGCAACCATAGCGTTGGCTACAATAAATAACATAATTTTTGTTATCTGGCATTTTTTATTAGTTCGAATCATTTTATTTTTGTTGCTGAATAAACTTTTATAATAAGTTCGACAATAGAAATCTTTATTTTAATGAGTGTGGCACCTACAAATTTATATTGCTTTATATAATAATGTAAAGTAAAGAACAAAAAGCAATGAAGAAGTGTTTTATTCATTACTTTTTTCGGCTTATCTGTTTTAGTTTCATGCATGATTTGTCAAAGTTAATTAACACTGATTAATTGATTATTTACTTTTTTTTAAGTATGAACAATGAATACTCAGTTAGTTAATAATAAAGATAGATAAATGTTCAGAAAATTAGGCAATATACATATACATATATATATACAGGACAACGCATGATAGTCACGGTTGCACTGATATTTTAGTAAACTGTTTTTGGGTCTTCCTTTGAGCCTCGAGTTCATTCATTTGCAATTTCACTTTTCAATCATATTTTTTATTTATTCTTATCCAATCTTGCCAAGTGCCTCAATTTTATAAATAAAATTATGCTTATTTTTTATATGCTAATTTTGGTTTACTGTGAATTTAAAATTCAAATTGATCAACAAAAAAAATCAAATCTTAATTTTTTTTCCAAATATTAAGTTATTTTTATACTTATTCCCCAATATANCAAAAGATATATATATATATATATATATTAAATCAAAACCTTTTTTAAATTGTGTTTTAATGTAAGCTCATTTGCGAGCTTCTATTGTTCATAATACGTTTTTTTGTTTATCACTTTTTCAGCTAGTTGCACACGAAACTTTTGAGTATTGTTTTATATTAGTTATAAGCTTCTGTTTATAAATTTTTCAGGTAGTTTCACAATATATATTAAACTCGAAACATTTTAACATGGCGTTTCAAAAAAAAAATCATTTACGAGCTTTTTTTGTTCAAAAGTGAACAACCTCTTTATAATTATGACTTTTTCATGTAGGTTCGTGATATATATTAAACCAGAAACTTTTTTTTTTATATTTTGCTTTAATATGACGAAAGTTTAATATAACGAAAGAAGCAATGGCTTTATGTTTATCACTTTTTTAAGAAGTTACCCAGTATATATTTTATCATAAAACGTTTTAGAGATGTATTGTATTTTTTATTTTTTATCTGGTTCTAATTTTTTTTCTATGCAGGGCCTTCCTGGTAGAGACGGCATTCCTGGTACAACTACAGACACTGTCGTTATTCCTGTAAGTGTTATAATTTTATTTTATTCCTTGAAAAGCATTTTTAACTATTACTGATTTCGTTAACAAAATAAAATTTACATTTTCATTTACAGTATTTCGAGATAATAAAAATATTCAAGCTTACACGACAGTCTTTATTCTTTTCAGCGATAAAAATTTTGATCTTTTTGAATGTTTCATTCAGTTGTATCGGAAAAATAAATACTCTATACGTTGGAAATTTTGTAGCGTTTTGAACTATGTCATTGTTAAAATTCTTTGCATTCAAAATAAGGTGAACCATACAAGATCTTAATTTGTATATTATTGAAACATTTTAGAAGATACACAAAATTTTCTCTTTATCACAGTTTTCCTTTTCAAAATGTAGCGATTTATTTTTTCCTTTAACTTCATTTTTATCAATTTATTTCAAATAGTTATCTATTTATATTTATTTATTTAACTGCACCTTATTTATTTAGTCATAATTTTATTTATTTAGACATTTTTCGACCTTTATTTACTTAGCCTTGCATTTTCAATATTAGCATCTGATAATAAAATGAGTTATTAATAAGTTTTTTTGTAATTCCGATTTCGTATTTAGAAAATAAAACTCATTCTTATAATTTATTTTATAAATATGGGATGCTATATTAAAAGATAAGTTTATGTATTAGGATTTATCACTTCCATGTAGAGTTTATAACCTTTTCATTACCTCACTTTTTATCTTCTAAAAACACGCTATAAGAAAATGTATAGTTTTACCATCACTGAAACATTCGTGAACTTTCTGTGGATTCCGCAATAGTTGCAGAATATGTAAGTTATTTGGTTAGAGTTCTACATTGGCATCATTTTCTAAAAATGACGCTAAAACCACGCGCTCGAAAATTTAACTAATTTTAAATATGGTATAATTTAGTTATACAGAAAATAATTTTTATCCTTTCGACTTCGCAGTTCTGTGATCTGTATGAAGCTGTTAAATTTATATTTATATTGACTACTTATCTTGACTGCTTATCTTGGTACGTGTGGCGAATTTTATGACAACTTAGTAGTCAAGTGAAATCTGATAATAGTATGAATATTCAATTTTACATCTGTTTAGTAATAATTGTATGTGTATTTTAATTAATTGTTTTATGATGAAGTACATACATATATTTACTAAATTTAACTTTTTCGTGTTTTTTTCCATAATTTTTAAATTTAACCCCCAAGAATTTCAATACTTTTTTATAGTTAATGGTGGATTCTTTTTAATAATTATTTATTTTGCGTGGCTTGCATAATTAAAATTGTCTTGAAACTGAAATTTCATGCAGTAATGAATTTTTAAACGTTAGTATTGCATTTAGTATTGCATGACATTGTAAAAAAAGAGCTTTGCATTTTTTTAAGGTTTATTTTTTTCTAAATAATTATTGAATGTATTTGTTGTATTTAAATAAACCATAAAATAACATTATGCGTGCTTGTATCTACTTTAGATTAAATTCAACATTTTAAATATTTATATTATTTTACTTTGTTAAAACCTGAGGTACACGTATTGATACCTAAAATTATTAGTGCTCTTGACATGTTTGCAACATGATTCATATTTTGTTTATCTTATGATTCAGACATATGACTCATATTATAATGATGATTAGACATATCATTCATATTTTGTATATCTTATTGTGACTTGATATCTTTATCTTTGTATATCTTATTGTGAAATAAGAAATTTGAAACTGTAAAATATTTTTTTGCTACATTCCTTTACGCTTCAGTAGTGAAGATGACATATTTATCATTCTTAATTGTATTGAAAATGCTTTAAGACACACTCTATTCAACTACTTCAGAAATTAAATACATTTGAATTAATCTTTTCTATCAGAACGTAAAAGTGAAGCCCCTCACTTTATTGAAAACCAAATGCCTGTGAATTAAATTTTCTGGAAAACAGTCCTTGCGTGAAAATATTCCAGACGTTGTTCCATGTTTAATCAAGAGTGAAATAAAATGTTTCTAGAATCTTTACGGAGTTGTTAAATCGCAAAAATAATGTAAGAAATGAAGCTTTTGTTCTTTAAAGGCTCACGAATGTCCTCATCCAGCAACTGGAAATGATGAAAATTCTTGAAATTAATAATTAAAACTTTGCTGAGCGCGCTTAAATTAGCTTAACTTGGGGGATTCGTTGAAATGTTGCTTGGATCAGACAAATAATATTAAAGAGAGCAATAGCAACGATAAAGATGTCAAAGACTTCTGCACCGCATCAATAAATATCCATAAATGTATACATACATGTAATGTGTGGTAAAGAAAGTTCTTTTAGTGGTTTATCAAATTGTTGCGAAGCAGGTAGATTCTTAGTAGTTGGTGAGTCTCAAACCCCGTGCTTTAAGAGTGGTTCGTAAAATTGCCAAATTCAGCATTAAAAAGCTATAGAATCGAATTCAACTAATTTAATGGAATATGATTCTGATCCTTTTAAAGCATATCAAATTTATTTCAAGTTAAATTGAGGAAAAAATTATTACTCTGGAGAACAAATGTTTTATTGCATTTGTGCAAATACTTGATCTTACCTGAATGAAGCGTGGAAATTTCAAATCACATTGATAACCTTTTTTTCCTTTTACTGGCGATGAATTGAAATGCTTTTAAAATGCCACTAAATTCCGTTTTTTAAGTAAAAAATCAAAATATATGAAATTTATGTTCAATACTGACAAATTGGGTCACGATGGCTCAGGGGATGGAGTGCTCACCTTCCAATGATGTGAACCTGACTCGAATCCTAGTGATAGCTGGTCAATACGAATCCGCATCCGGCTTGCACCGTCCACAGTGCTGACGTGAAATATCCTCAGTGGTTGACAGATCATGGGTAAGAGCCCCTTTTCCATCGTTTCCTAACCATGGAAGATTTTCGTGGTCTTCCCCTAGATGTAACGCAAATGCGAGTTAGTTCCATCAAAAAGTCCTCCACGACGACAAATTTCTCCCATTACTTGATCCAGGAGTTCCCTTGTCTTCTGGATTAGGTTCAAAATTACAAGGCTACAGAGTTAACATTAGTAGTCGTAAATTCGAAAGTTGCGTCGGCTGCTCCACGACAGTTATTAAAAAAATCCTAACAGATTTCCTTATCCTTTGTCATATTTTTTTCTCGGCATTGAATGCAAAAAAATAAATAATAAAAAAAACGTATCCCAGTTACATTAAAATAGCAATTCACATTTTTCTCACAATTTGAAAGGGTGAAAAAAATGCAAGTAAACCTGCGTGGAAAATATTTTTCTGAAATCACGAAGCCTTAGTGAAAGAAATTTGTTTGCAAACCTTTGTAAGGGATAGCCAAGTTGTTATCCTTTACAACTGGCGTCAATCATTCAGATAAAATAAGAAATTTAATACCCTTTTATTAGAGTGCTTTTTGACGTATAAAACATAAAGCTTTACACCAATCAAAAATAAGTCTTGTCCAATCAATTTCTTTGTGCTATTCACCACGTGTTGAATCATGTTGACAAATTTTTCAATGCAGAAAAACTTACGCCTTCGCCGAATTTCTTTAGGAGTGTGTTATTTGAGAATATCTCAAAGAAAAGCACTTAGTTATTAGAAGAAAAGCAAACATCTTAATAACTTTAGAAGTAATGCACACGGTCTGAAAAATATGAAAATAGTTTAGGTAGTAAAACGGTCAAAAGTTTGGTGTTCTTTAAAGTAAATATTATGTTTTGCGTGTTTCACCATAGCTCTAGAACAATTTAAAATAATTCATAATTTTTGCATTTAATTATAAATTGCTTCATCGATGGGAAATTCTACGTAAAAAAAGTTTTAATAATTAGTTGTGACCCTTTATTATTTTTTATTAAAATATGGTACTAATAGTTTAGGTAGTAGAATGGCCAAACGTTTGGGGTCCCTTAAAGTAAATTTTATGTTATGCGCATTTGACCATATCTCTGGAACAATTTAAAATATTAAATAATTTTTGCATTTAATTTTAATTTTTTTCATCGTCGAAACATTCTACATATAAAGAGAATTAATAAGCAGATATTAATCCTCTATATTTGGAAATGTTCAATAAAAGAGAAATTAACTTCAAAAATTTCTAAAATTTAATCTATTCTCCTGCCTAAACAATTGATTGCGGCAAACCCCCTCTATACCCAGAGCGTAAAAAATCAAAATTCGTTGGGAAAATGGATGTTTATTTAGGGAAAGTACGTCTTTGCCTCTGATCACACAACTTAAAACACTAAGCATTGCTTGCATTAAATTGTCACAAGAAACTGAACGTTAAACTTCCTCATTCACGTCTGGCAGTTTTTGAAAAACGGTGTTTGTTTTTGAGCACTTGAAACGTGTCGACTGATATTTCCTACTAATATATTTTATAAACGAATGAAATTATTCATAAAGTAATTGTCTGTACTAATTAATTAGAATATTAAAGTTTAGGGATCGACCCGAGAAGATTGAGTTCTAATAAGTGCCCTAGTAGTCCAATCATTAGACAGAATGTTATCAAAGTGTCCATTTTTTTTTCTCTCTTTCTCTCTCTTTCTTTTTTACGAACAATAGAAATAATTACACTTACAAATGAATGATAGAAATTTTGATATCTGTATTTTTCAATTTATTTCTGGAAAATTTATTTCCAATTACAATGTTTTTCTCCTCTTCTTTAATTTCCCAGAAATGAGACCTTTCTTTAAAGTAATTGTCTCCTGTTTCTTTTTAACTATTTTAAACATTTTCATTTACTATACAGAAATATTTTCTGAATCTCCAAATAGCATACTTAAATTTCTATACGCTCGAGTTAAGTATTATTGAACTTAAAATAACCATTAAATAGATGGCATTGAATTGCTTTTAAGCAATGACACGTGAAACCAGAAGACATTTATAGTGGTTGAAAAAAAAAGATTTTTTCTACGTTTTTGAGAATAAATAAACAAATTTTGGGGACTTATGAAACTTTATTTATTTATAGACTAACTTTGCAAAATGGTGAATGTCATATTTTTAAAAAATATTTTTTTTCTTTTTTTCTTTTTCTTTTTTTCGTGAAAAACTGCATTGTGAGAATAACTAAAAACTGAAGAAAAAAATAGAATACTTTTCAGTTCGTATTCCTTGCCATGAACCAATAAAATGCATTTTTGGGATAAAATTAATTGAAAACAAGGAGCAAACTAACAGTTATAAGTTAGAAAGCTAATGGCTTCAGAGCTGCTATAAAAACAAACATATGCGTTTGGAATTCATTAAAAGAATATCTTCCAAATTGATGAAATTGCCATCGTTTAAATTCCATCCTTGTACAAATCCTTTTCTAAATAATATGTTCTTTTTGAAAATTTTAAAAATTCTAAATATATTAAAATTTTTGTAAAACTCTTACTGTTAGATGTCAATAAATTTTTCGTTAATAGAAAAATTTAGAATAAAATTCTCTACATATCCCCACATATTTTCAAAACTGAAATTCGTTGATAATAGACTGAGAAATTTAGGATTTGAAATAACATTTAACTCTTAATATTTTACACTATTGGCAAAAATAAATAGTTTAGTCAATCAGGCTCATCTCAAAAGATTTTTCTTTCTATTTTGTATTATGTTGAATATTTTGAACCATTAGTATATTTCTCTTTATCCGAAACTTGTCAGAAAACTTTTCACTTTAAAGAAATTCTAACTAATTGTTGGTAATTAAAAGAAGCTTTGTGAGAAAAACAACATTTTCAAAGGAGAGAAAGTATAATTGTGAGTCATTATAATGTGCATGCAGAGAATTGTGGCAAAATTACCGTGCTGTATCGAAATGACTTTTATGGTAAAACCATAATTCTGTTTAATAAAACCAAAATATACGGTATTTAAACCATTCTTTTGGTAATTTTTTCGATCATATGGTAACGGTTGATCTGAAGTTTTATTTTTCAAAATAATAGTTCTTATTGCAACACAATTAGAAAGAAATACAAAACTAAAAAGTAAATTTAATAAAATGAAAGGATTTTATTCTCTGCTTTAAAATATCATGATATGGTTTCCAAATTTTATCATACATTACTTTCTGTGGAGCCGAAAACACTGTAAATTTTAATATATTCTGGTATTTTTGATCATATTTTTTTCGTCATTTTTATTATGTATTCTTTTGTTCTTGTATTCATTCTTGTATTTTCGAGTGTTCAGTTGCTTTATTTTCAAAGAAAATTTTGCAGCACGATTTTTTTTTTTATAAAAGTCATGTTACTTTGGCACTATTCGGATCTTCTGAATATCGTTTACATTCATGACTGTGGTGCATTTTTTTTTCTCCTGAAAATCGAAAACATCTCTCATGATTCCATTTCATTTAAAGTAAGTTTTTCATGTCTATGCCATAGAAGACTGAGGCTCAATAGACTGTAAGAAACTGGTCACCAGATGGCATGCTAAACTTTCTTTTAGATTTATGTGTGTTTCCAAAAAGTAGTAAGAATCGAGATTAAAAAGATTGATGGCGGTTATCGAAAAATATTCTTTCTGTGTTAAATTTTGTCTGTGATGTGTCGTCAATTATGTTTGTAATGTGCATCCATAGCTTTAAATAAATTCATTTAAGATGCACACGACTCGTCTTTTGAGTGAAAGTTTAAAAGTCTTTACAAGACGAAGTTTTTCACCTTTTCAAGAGGAAACTGCCACTTAGTCTCTAGCGTTCGCGATAATTCCTCGCAATGAAACTCTGAAGTTGTCTGTTTTTATATAAACAGGAGTCAAAACATTTATGTATAGAAGGAATTGAAGAAATGACATAACTCTATCTTCTGTAATCAATGCAAACAAGCTAAAAAACATATCTATTTAATGCGACTTATTTTCGCAACCACAGAAACCTTCATCGCGTAAGGCTGGTGCCAATAGGTGTTCTCGTGATAGCTGGACAATACTTCTTTTAAGCACACACATTGATTGCATGAAGTGAATGTAAGTTGCTGCCAGATCCATCCTTGTAGAAATTTCAAAACTAAGTGTCACAAGTTTTGCGATCCATTACAACGCTATTGGCTTTTTTTTTTTTGCATAGTATCTATATGAAAAAAGTAAAAGTTCAAACAAATGCTTTGGTTCTTTTATAACTTAAATTATTTTTAATACCAACTTATCCTTTAAGACCATTTTGTATACGTCTTTTTGTGCTTTAATAACTTAATGGAGTGTTTTATATTTAATAATTTTTTAAAAATATTTTCTTTATTTTAGCATTTCTATTTCAAAATTTGAAAATGTTATGAAGTAAAAGGAAAATATTTTTCTTTATTTGAATTATTTCAATAATAGAAAATATCTTTCACGCAATCATTCTATGAATAGTATATTAATAAAGTAAATCCATAAATTCATATGTCTAAATCCTTCAATCAATTGTATAACTAACTTTATATGCATTTCTTTAAGAAAACATTTATTTTTAAGACATTTATTTTATAGACGACAAAAATGAATAGTTTTTATAGATAAAGTAAAATACCAGATATACAATACTATTATACAAAGAAAACAGAGTAGTTATTCAATAAAATTGATAGTTCTCTATATAAACTGGATAAAATGAGAACTTATCGAATTGAATTACACTCTCATAAATTGAATTGAATTTTCTTCAAGAAATAATGACTTCGTGAAGAAAATAATGAAAAAAGAATTCTATTTCGTTAAAGTTAGAAGGAATATAATTTTATCAAATAACTTAGTTTTGATTAATGTAACATGCTAAGAAATCGATACATTTGTTCAATGTATTTCTCTTTTATTAATAGGGTCCACCAGGGCCGAGAGGAGAGCAAGGAGAGATTGGTTTACCTGGAACAAAGGTAATAAGCGTCAACGTAAAGAAATAATAAAAATTTGTAGAGAAGTTCTGGATTCATGAAATTCTACAATTCGAAGAAATTCTATATTAGTCACACACTAAGGAAATATCGAAACATTGCAATGCTTTTCGATTTATATTTTAATTTTTGTTTAAAGTTTCTCTACGTCCTTTGACATAATTCCAAACTTTTTTAAGGTACAAGAAAAATTTATCCCTCCAATTATTCTCTTTTGCTTAAGCATTAATTAAATTATACCACAATAAATTGAGAGTCTGGACAACACCGCAAATCAAAAACTCCGATGGACAAAACCATAAATGAAACCAGTACACAGTTGACTAATATTTTTTTTGATATTAAGGACCATTGTCCGGTATTCCTCACGCTGAAATTGTTTGAGGTATAGGATCAAAACTCTATCCCTTTCTGCCATGGGAAAATAGTGACGGACAAAACCATGAATAATTCTAAACCAGTACTCACTTTCCCATTACTAATGATTTTCAATGTTAAGGACCATTGTCTAGTATTTTATAATGATTTTTTTTAAGGCTATGAGTCAAACCATACCCTATTTACTTTTTAAAGTTAAAGCCATTGCCCGGTATTTACAACACTGATGCTTTTTTTTTAATTCATGGGTCATTTGCCCAGTATTTCTTATATTAATGTTACTAATTGTGGAATGTTGTTAAAGGCTTGATACAAGATCCATTAATTAGTTATTATTAGCAACTAAAGAAGTTATAAATACTAACCAATATTAGTGCTAGTTAGAATATCTTCTCGTGATTCATCGTGGGTAACGCTAAAGATCTCTCAATTCTCTGACAAGTTTAATGCGATTCCTAATGTACCTTAATGTATCCTGAATCTTAATGTTTAACAAAATTTTAGCTCTAAAAATTTTGTCATCTCTCTGTCACACTTTTATCTTTCCTAATTTTTTTTCACTGTCTGGGAATCTATAACTTTCTTCAGAATAAAAAAGAAAATTAAGAAATATTTTTAAACTCTGAGAGTATAAAATTTATAAACATACATATTTAATAATTTTTAATTTCTCTCTTATTTAATTGCTTGCTTGTTCTTAAAAAAGTAGTAGAGAAGTAGTGCTGGATAATTTTGTAAAAGGCAGTAAAAAATTCAATATTTATTTCATTAAAAAGCAAATAAATTTCCTAATCTATTGCATGCCTCTAACCAGATTCACTTAAATAAAAACTAAGATTATATTAAATAAATTTTTACTGAGCAATGCTGCTTTCCAAAAATCAGAAGAGGTTTTGATATTGAAGCTAATATTAAGGTTTTTAAACACCTTGTGACCTTATCAAAATAGATAAATTTATATTCACACATTATTTCTATGCCTTAAAAAATACCTAAACAAATTTAAATACATTTGTACAAAACTTTTCAGCTAGATTACAGATTAACACTTCGAGTAGCTTTTTTATTTGATTACCTCTTTTATTAATACCTTTCATATTTCAAAACTATCATTGATAAAGTTAGTAAAAAATTAATATGAAGGTAATAATTTTGAAGCTTTGCCGATCGAACAAACCACGCTTGACCATATACCATTTTTAACGGCCATTTTTGACCATATAACTATTGCCATACGAGATCTCCAAAATCAATCGTGTACCGAATGTTTACAAAGCAAAATGTTCGATCGATTGATCAGCAAGGGCTTAGTGTATAAGTATTTTTAAAATTAATTTCATAGCATTTTAAATAAATTTATAGCTAAGTTTCCCTACTTATGTAGTAAAAGTAAAATTTTTCTAAAAGCAAATAGGGGGACCGAAAACATATTGCGGCAATGTATTAAAATGAAAATGGTTTAATGTGTCCTTCACTTTTATACCACAAGCTAAATTGAACTTGCATAGCACTTGCCAAATTGAACTTGCAATATTTTAAAACAATTAGAACTTCGAAAATTATACATGCATGAATAAGATACTGTTCGAAAAAATGTTTTAGAAATTTAAATTACATTTCCTTGTAAATAAAATGAAATACATTATGAAATAAACAAATAAATTTGGATATATTTAAATACCTTAAATATAAAATTTATTTAAGTGAGAGTAGTAACTACTGCTATGTTTTTAATTATGTTATACTGTGTTGTCAGTAATTCCATATTTTATAAAAATATATTCTATTTCTAGGGAGAAAAAGGCTCTAGGGGTGACATTGGAGTACCAGGACCAATTGGATTTAAGGTTATTTTCTTTAAAATTTTCATTTAGAACTCAAGAACACAAATCAGAAAAGTTAGACACTAAATTTAACTCAAATTATTAAAAAAGTTGAGTTAGTCTCACTTTTAGATCGATATAAATAATTTTGTAATTTATTTTATAATTTTTGCACCTCTAATTTATTTCTGCTACCAGACAGAGAACACAACTCAGATTGAAGATAGGGTATACTTTGTACTATGTATAAATAAAGCTGAACAACCTGAGTAAAACACAAACAATTGCAGAAAAATAGACATACTACTCGTATAGTTTTGGTTCTTTAGACAAAAGCCTTCTACATTGTCGGAATACTGAATGATTCGTGTTTCGACACTGAGAAATACGTTCTTGTTTATGGAACCGAAACTATAGTATGTCCATTTTATGTAATTTTTGTAGCTTTTTTTACGTCGTTTAGCTATATACACCAGGAAGTTAATTAGAGAAATCAAGATTTTCACGAACCTCAAATCTTCGTAACTGGAAATGAACAAAACTGGAACTTTAGAAATAAGGCTTTCATATAGTATGATGGGCTTCTGAATTTAATTGATATCAAAAAATTAATTAAAACAACAGAAATTTCGATGAAAATAATGCGATGATTTTCTTTAGATGCAGTTTTCTTGAAAAACCTCTTCAGGCTATGGAGCCGGGATGAGAGGTCACGGAAGGTCATTAGGAATTCCCAAAAGATTTTCACTATTCGGCCATTCTGGCCATTCGGCATACTTAAAAACTTTTATATTCTTACTTTAATTTATTTATTCTTTTAACGAAAGGCAAATGAAAGCATTACACATTTGTTTGACTTTTTTAAATAGCTATGAAAATTTTTTGCTTAGGTACAGTTTAAGGTAGCCATTTAACAATTTTCTCTTAAAGAAATCTAATCTCCTCCAAGCCATTGTCAATCACTCGTCTTGGTGTTCTTATTTCCGATTATATTCAAGCCAGTTTCACCGGAGATAGAGATAAACAAGTTAGCTAATTTTTTAATTAATTTTTAAAAAAGTTAATTTTAGAATTGAATCACTGCTATAAACAAAAGTTATCTACTTAAGAGATCCATTAAGAACAGGCGATTGAATTTTGAACTTTTCGATTCAATTGTGAACTTGAAATAATTTTGCCGGATTTTGACAGCATGTAAAATCACCAAGTCAAAACCTGGCATATTTTAATTAATAATCAGTTGTGTCAATCTGACAAAGAAGTGATAACATGTTTAATAATTTTCAAAAAATATGCTTCGATTTAGGAAAGCTACAACAAATAAATTGCTTTAAAAATTAAATTCAATAAATTTGGACAACTCTGAAAAATTTTGCTCTTATTTTGCTTTGCAAGTTCATCTTCAGATGAGTCACTGTCATAATCAAAAAAAAAATTTCTACTCATGTGTGTCGTATAAAGTAAATATTGCAAATGATTATTGTTTTTCTAATTTTTTCCCCTTTTATTGACAATATGTTTTTGTTTACAAAAAATTATGAAACTACATTAGGAAATTTTGGTGAGTTTTTTCAGTTAAAATAGAGTATTTTGTATTTTTACCGTCTTAATGTTGCTGATGACTGAATTTCTGCAAAAAAGTTTGAGTTATATATCATTCGTAGAGGTAGAATATATATAATAGTATTGAATCAATGAGTTCGGAAATAGGTCATCTCCTGTCCATTTCCTGTAGAAATGAGCCATTTCCCGATTTATCGATTCAATTGCGAGTATGGTAACAAAAGATATGTCAGTAAGGATAAAATAAATAAATATTTAAGCATTTGGCTGATTTTCAAGTGAATAAAACATTTACTCAGTAAAGTTATACGATCCTTTGCGTTATCGTTTAAATCTACACAAAATGATACCGAAGCATTTTTAACTTCTCAGAAACATAATTTATAAATGGTGATTTTGTAGTTATGCGTAGCTTTGAGAAATGTACATTTTAGTGATCGCAAACTTTACTAAAACATGTCTTTTTTGCATAAAAATGTATAGTTAAAAATCGCGCCTTAAGGCGTTATCACATGGTAAAATAGCTTAAGTCACGCTGCTTCTAGGCCCTTTGAGATGGATTGGTAATATTTAAAATATATGTTTAAGAATGTGACAGGTAGCATTACTGTACACTGTTTAGAATTTTCATTCTAAAATCACTGTGCAATTAACGACAGCAATCTGTCCATCCGATTAATCGTTAAGTTTACGGTAAAGAACATTTTTTACCTTTAGAAGACTTGAAACCGTTTAGAACTAGTATGGTTATGAAACCATTAATACCGAACTATAGGGTTTTTAACCATTTACAACTAGCATGGTTTCGAATCCATAAAGAAAAGAAATTTAACTGAACATAGGAGCTTGACGCTTCGTAAATTAATGGCTATAGGAGAGTGTAGGACACAAATTGGGGAGTGAAGTACGCTGAAAACTTTTCGTGTGTCAAAGGGCTTTTAGGAAATATTGCGGTGTCAACTCTGGGATTCGAACTCCATTTCTGTCTGTCTTGAGACTGTCAGATTAGCCATTATGGCTACAATTTGTAAGCAGTTGCAAGAAACTAAGTGACTTAATTAAGTTGGTCTTTTAGTGCTATAAAATTCTGATTGTTTAACTGTGTTAGGTGAAAGTAGTCATTAAGCTGCTTCTCTCACTGTTAACAGTTCAAGTACAATCTTTATGGTAATTTGATATGCTTTACCTTTATGGTAACTGTTTTGTTTGAATATGGTTAAATAGCAATTAAATAAATTGTTAGTTAACCGTTTTTTCCGAGAAATTTCTAACAGTGTAAGTGTGGAAGTGTAAAAATAATGATTGACGAACACTTGGAGCCATAATGGGCAGTCTATGAAGTGATCAATTGAGTCAAATTGAGTTCAATTATTTATGCTTTTTAGATGCTTCCTCTGGAAGTGACTCTCAGTGAACCTAAATCATCAACACGAAAAACCTGGTAATTGCGGATAACCACTTTAAAGTGTGTTGGTTCAATTAAAAAAAAAGAAAAAAAACATATCTGATTGTTAATAAAGCTTGATTACTACTTATAGGCGTCATACTCTGAAAAGTTTGAAAATCGAGTCATATTTGTAGTATTTTGCCAAGAACACTATGTTTGTGCCAGAATTAGTTTAGTTTTACAAAATTAATATTGATTTTTCTTATAAATCCCATCCCCATCATCCATTCTATAATGTCTATGAGAACTTTCAGAAACGCGTATAAAAAGTTTTTATTGTTTTTTCAATATATCAGCTAACCCTAACCCTTCGCTGTTCCAAAGAATAAATTAAAGTTCTTTCATACGTATTTTAAATAGACATAATTACTGCGTTTCTCAGGCAGTATGTAGTGTTTAAAAAAATGTATTTTTATAGAACGTTTTCACAAGGTCAGGGTGTATTTAAAAATAAACTTTATTTTTGTTAAAGCATTACAAAAACCCAATCTTTTTAATCTTCATTTCACAGAATTATTTTTCTTTTCCCTCTCAACAGTTTGCCTTTTAAATTTTAGTTTAAAAAAATTTTACTGGTTAAACTAATTATAATTTAATTCATAAAAGTAAAATTAAGATATATATCATCAAAAGATCGTCAATTTAGTACGTAACATAAAATCTCGGTAAAGTATTCAAAAAGAAGAAAATGAAAACCGAATAAGTTACGAATTCATATTTCAAAAGTTAACTTATTTCGGTATCGCAGTAATAGTTAACAACATTTTAAATATTGAGAATTTTCATTAACTATAAATACATTAGTGAAATATAGTTAACTCTAAATTTATTCAGTTTTAGTGCATAACTATTAAAAAATTCTGGTCAAAGTTAACTATGCTGTATGGTAAAGACATTTTTAATAAAAAGCATTAATTCTGATTAATAAAACTGAAATATGCCATTTCAGTTCATAATTACTCCATTCATATGGTAACAGATTACCGAAAATTCTGGTTTTCAAAATTATAGTTCTTATTACTGCACATTTAATAAAATAATACATAATTGAAAGGTAAATATAACCAAATAAAAGGTTTGTATGCTTTGCTGAAAAGCATCATGATAAGATTTATAAATTTTTATCACTTATTATAAAACCATATTTTATTGTTAAATTTAAAAAAATCATCATTTAGGTAAAAATCACTGAGTGTTTCGGTTTTCCTATAAAACCAGAAAAGCGATAAATATTACTGTATTCTGGTAGTTTTGACCATGCTTTCTACACGGAGCTGTATCTTAGTTTAATATAGTAAAGATGTTTTTTTTTCCAATGTCCACCTGGATAATGACCTAGGTCAGTGGTCGGCAAACTTATTAGCCAAAGAGCTAAATATGAACATTACAACAATGTAATAAAGAAGTGGGAGCCAAATTTGCTTGCAATGCAAAGCATCGGCAGAAAACCTCCAACATTTGGACAAATAGAAGTTATCGAAAAACCGATGAAAAATTTTGTACGGGAACCTCAAACATACATAGCAGGTGTAATAAAATCGTATTAAAATACCCGTAAGATGTGCATCTAGATTGAAAAATACAACAACTTTTTAATAAGACAGGACAACGGCAGACACGGTGGATAAGACATAACTGTTCACACTGCAGGTATGTGATGCCAATTGATGTGATGCCAACCCCCACTATTTTAAAAAAAAGTATGTGCGCATGCTTGTGGTACCTTTGTATCACACCGGAGTACGCCGAAAACATACGAACAATTTCAGCCGGTAACTTGTACAGGGTTTGCGTTTACGTTTACAAAAACTAATGAAATTAAACTCGATGTTCGTTACGTATTTTCACAACAATATGAAATTTTAATTACCTATCTATCTATTAACTTAAACAAAAAATTATGCATGTTCTCGATTTATAGAATAATTTTAATTTATCAAAATAAGATGTAATTTTTTTCTTACCAAGTTTTTTTTAAATGAAAATATTATTGCGCCTTCCGTGGATATTTCTGCCAGAGCCGCACTTAAGGAGCCAAAGAGCCACTAGCGGCTCCGGAGCCGCACTTTGCCGACCACTGACCTAGGTCATATAGGCGCCTGAAGGGCAGATTTGTTGGCCACTCTTTCAGAGACAACATATTAGGTGGGCCAACATAGCTCCCACAGTAAGGACAGATAGTACAGAGAAGGAAAGAACATCCATGTCTTGCCCGGGATTCGAACTCAGAACCTTTCTGATTCAAGGGCAGTTCCCTACCCCCTACACAGACCAGTCGGCATATAGCAAAGATGTAATCAGATAAAAATGATGCAAGATATGTTATATATGAAATAATTCGCAACCAAATTTTCAGATGATTGATATTTTGTTTAAAATTTCGTCAAAAAGGAAATTTGATTTTTACAGGGTGACAAAGGAGAAAGGGGTGAATCAGGAATTCCAGGAGTGGATGGACATAAGGTAAGATTTTTTTTTATTCAGTGGCCGATTAATAACAAACTATGACTCATGAAACTATGCTTTTTTCAGCAATGAATATTTACATTAACGAATCAAGATTGATAAATTTTTCAAAATACTTTAATTCTATTTTTACTATTTATGAAGTTTTTGGATTAAAAAAAATTAAATCAGTATTTTAAAATAAAGTAAATGTTTCTTGCATTGCAGTAAGAACATGGAATTTAAAAGTAGACAAATTTCCTAATAATTATTTTGAAAAAACTTATATACGGTAAGCGATAAAGGCAAAATAAAAAATTTATAAATGAATGCTAGCAAAATTAATTGAGTTTATGTTGATTGAAGTAAAAATAAATAATTATAGTATTATAATTATTTTTTGAAAGCTCATAAGGTGAGAGATAATTGCAAAATAAAAAAAATAATGAATCATTTTTTGCATAATTATCAAAAAAATAGTTTTGCTATGCAATAATTTTAATCCTGATGATATGCTTTAAATGACTTGGAAGTGTGTAGTATTATTTATTTGACCCCCTCCTATATATAACGTTTGAAAAGAAAGATATAAATGTCCAAAATAAAGCTCTAAACGTTCAAAAGAAAGCTTTAAATGCCATTTAAGAAAATTTCGCTTTAAGAAGCAAAACTAATTTTATATTTGAAATCTCTCACCTGAATTATACAAGAATAACTTTTTGACTAATTTCAACAAGAAATATGTTGCCCAGTGTTATTATTAAACAGCAATTAGGTTTTCACAAAAGGTTAAAGGTTAGAATAGTCAGTATAAAGTATTTAAGACTCACTTTCTAACATCAGACACAACTTTTTATCATTTAATATAATTATTTTTGCATAAGGCGTATTTATAAGAAAGATTTTTTAAAATAAAATGCTATCTCTAGGGTGATAGAGGAGAACTAGGACGCATTGGAGATACTGGAGCAAAAGGAGAAAGGGTAAATAAAACTCTTACATAAATTAAATTATTCAAATTTTTTATTGAGGGAATTATAGTTAGAAATATTTTATGATTTAGGGATTTCCTGGCGTGCCAGGTCTTAGAGGTGAACCTGGATTGATTGGAATGCCTGTGAGTACATCTATTTTCATCCAAATTTTAAAGAATAAATTTAATTTTGATAAATAATTAGAAATTTTGTGCAATTAGTAACGGTAAACATTCTTTTATTCCATTTAAGGGACCATCTGGAATGCCTGGAAATAATGGTGCTCCTGGAGCAAGAGGAAGTAAAGTAAGGAAATGTTATTCAAAACTAAACTATTTAACTTTTTTCAAAAATTTTATTGTGATAATTGAAGATTGTTAAGCTAGTTTTTTTAGTGTTTTAAGTTATATAATTTTAGCGTCGTTTTTCTTTCTTTGGTAAGTCCGGCATGCAAGGTTATTTTAATATATCTTTGTCCACATATGACTCCCTAACACTCTTTCCTGGTCAGTGCACTGTTAGTGAATAAATTTGTTTACAACGGTTTAATAATCTTTTTTGTTTAAGAAGAAAATTAAAAATATTATTCAGTTCTTCCGCTTAAGATTAGAGTAACAAAATTTAAAGATTTTCAAACAGAAGTAAATCGAGATAATATATCTCGAGATAAAGTGATTACTTAAAGAAAATGAAGATGGAACAATCTTTTCAGTCTGACGTGTAGATAGAGAGAAATATGTACACTGCTCAAAAAAATTAGGGGAGCCATGTGCTCCCCTAATTTTTTTGAGCAGTGTATGATTGAATGAAGATTCATTAATCAATATCAACTGCATTGTTATTTCATAANGTGATTACTTAAAGAAAATGAAGATGGAACAATCTTTTCAGTCTGACGTGTAGATAGAGAGAAATATGTACACTGCTCAAAAAAATTAGGGGAGCCATGCGCTCCCCTAATTTTTTTGAGCAGTGTAGATATGAATTATTGTATTTCTTTCTTCCTTCTCGTTGTCAACAGAGCACGATTAGTAGATCTAATTAGAACTGGATAAAATACACTTCTCTTCATCTCCTCTTAGGACTGCCATTTTTCATACTAAAAATGGCTTTCAGTTTTTTTTTTCAGTGAGTACTCTGATTTATTTTTAAAAAATAATTCTTAGAAAAAATTTAACGATGGGAAAAAAGGGGGTCAAATTTGAAATCAGGAATTCATTTTCCTTAATCAACAAGCATAAAGTTAAAGCTTGATTTCTTTGCGCTAAGCAGTGCTATTATATATAGTATCTTTTAACACAGTAACTATGATTGAATGAAGATTCATTAATCAATATCAACTGCATTGTTATTTCATAACCCATCAAACGAACTAATGAAAGTATGTTACTGATATTATATAATGCAGATGCATCAAATCACATCGATACATACAGTAAAAATTTTGTTTTATATAATCAAAAATCTTTTGATCCCGATTTTATGAGTTTATTTATCTTAAATTGACTTAACGTTTACAATTGCTATAGTATTCTATTTAGAAACTACTTAGCATTAATTATGTATCTTTCAACATAAGTTATGTAATTGTGCATAAAATTAATCCTTGAATTTATAAAACAAAACTTAACAATTGCATGTAATATTAATAATGCCATTATTTTAAATAATATGCTTATATTAAGATATTTTATAAACTAGTCATTTTTGCGTTGCACAATTGTAACGAATTAGTGTGTTTACGGTACTATTAATTGAAATAAAATATTTACATTATGCTATATTTTTACTACTCATTTAAATTCTGTTTACCTAATTCTATTCTGAAATAGGGAGAACCAGGAGAGCCTGGATTACCAGGAGAAGTAGCTAAAGCTGGAGATCCTGTAAGTAAAAAAACATCACTATTTGACGATCTTTAATATTTGTTATACTTTCTTTCTTTCTATTCCTTATCTGATTGAAAATGCGTTCTTAGAGAAATTGTTTTTGACTCTAAATTAAATTTAAAAAAGATGACACCCATGCTTCAGCAAATGTAAAAAGATTAATTTTAAACCTTCATAATAGTTATTACCCTTTATTTAAATTCTATTTTATTACTTCTGTGTATATTTAAGGTTTTTTTCTTAGCCACTTCATTACCTCGGTCCACATCTGCATATATAATTGAAGAGTTTAGTAAATGAAGGATACAAGTGACATTTTAGTAAATTTGTGAAAATTAGCAATATGTATTGGCAATGAGAAATAAGGCTTATGCTTTACCTTTATTTCTTAACCACATGCTTACAATTGGGGAATATATAAATTCCTAGAACTTGCTTAAGCTGTTCATGTCAAATCGTTAGCAACCTTCGTGTTTAAGTTTGTTGCCAAAACATAGGTTTGCTGCCAAAACAAAGAGTAATTTACTTGCACGACATTTTCAATTCATTTTTGTCCAACTGATTATTTTATTTTAAATATCAATGAATGCAATTTTAAATTAAAGTTGTAGTTTTAAAATTACTATTTTTCAACCAACTTATATGATATATTGCTTCACTTTTTTATAATACATGCTTCGATTTCAATTTTATAGTGCATTCATATTATTTTACAATTTTATAGTACATTCATACTATTGCCTCAAACTCTCCCGAATTATTTTGTGAGATTTTTTTTTTGTATTTAAAGTAATAGTAAAGTATTTGTAGACTTTTATTTATTATTCTTAGTAAAATAAATATTATTAATATGCAATAATTTATATGGTAATTTATATAATATCATTTATACTTAACAAATTGCAGAGTTAATTTATTAAAATCTTTTTATATTCGATAAATTTGTGGGCAAGGTCTTATGTGGTGTAGAAATTAGGCGTAATAACGTCTGTTTAAAATTGTCAAGGAAATGCTAAGTTCACTATCATACAAGAATTTTCAGTCAGAAAATATATAAGTTGGCAACTACAATATACTTATTAAATAAATAATTGTAAGAAACTGAGGAGGTATTCATATTTGTTTTGTGCTTTTTCTAAAGCTAATGAAGCTTTCAATCAGGTAATATAATTTACTTAATAATTTAAACGAGCAATTTTTGTTTTTGATATCACTATTTGTGATTTAGAATTTTGCTTGAAGTGCGTATTTTGTAATAATTATTTTAATAAAAATGAAAAATCTGTATCGTAATAATTTATAAGCGAATATTTTTGAAGGGACCACCAGGAAATCCAGGACCACCCGGAGAACCAGGAATTGACGGATCAGGGGTGAGTAGCATAAAATGCTTGTGTGTTAAACTTATAGTGTTTGAGAATATTGTTTTTTTTTCAATTTCTGCTCCTACAAACTTATAACTATAAGGTAAAAGTTTATTAACTAAATGAACAAATGTAGAGCATGTATTAATGGAACATGGTCTGAATGATCATTTTTTAAAAGAAAATTGACTTAGGAACTCGTCAATCAGCTTTAAATTCTATTGATCTTAAAACTGGGAGGCAAGATTAAGGATAATGGCTTAACGGCTAGAGGCAAAAAAATACTGGAATTATCAAGTTTTATATTAACATTTTCACTTCTTTTCAAAATATTATATCATGTAAATAAACAGATTTTGAGACTAAATTGCACTGTTTGAAATAGAATTTTCGTGAGTAAACTGAATACTTTTAGTTGAAATGTTTTTGACAGTTTGAAAGCTTACATTTTAAATTCTTAACCATGTTTCTGACATAAAATTTTAATGGTCATTAAGTCCCTACGGCCATCATAATTAAAAGATTATTCCATTGTTTTTTATATTGTCGTTGAGAGGGTGTTTATTAAATAATGAAAAAGTGCAAAGATATTTCAGAAATGTACACCATTATAACATAATATTAGTGTTTGATATAATAATTGTAATTTAAATATTTTTCCTTTATTTGCAAAATATTCTTCACAAAATTTACATTTTACATAAAATATATCTCTGAAAGTTATATGAAATCTAACAAACCATAAGAAAAAAATTTTGTTCTCTGCTTTTTCAACTGAGTCATTTTTTATTGAAAAACAATACTAGAATTTGACAATAACAAAAATTACTTTTAACTATCTCACACAATTTGACTATATGACGCGAAATTTAAAGAGAACACCAGATAGGCAATATAATTTTTCCTCAATTCATTCCAATTTTTTGGTATCTATGTATGATCTGAAAATCCCCTTCCCCAAAGTAATCATCATTAGTTTCATTCTGATTACTCTAATCTTAAGAAATGTAAGTATCATGCTTTAACTTCTTTTGGAAGTTTTTATTGCTCTCAAAATAACTTCAGTTAAAATTTTTTTTTCCCCTCAAAGCTCAGTGAGTTAATAAGGAGTCTGATTTTTCGTGACTTGGAAATAATGAAGCATTAATAATGGGCCTTTTGGCAGCTTTTCAAAAAGGTAATACGGAGAAACACGGAAAGGTATTTGGTTATAAAAACCACCTCACAATTCATTACTCTTTTGGTTTTTCTTTTTTTTTACAAAAAGCATTTTGATGTTGTTTTTTTCCTTTAAAGAAATGATCAAAAAAGCTTTCAAAAAGTAAGTTTCAGGAAATAGTATTTTTTTGTGGGGTGATTTGTGTAGTTGAAAGGATTTTTCAAAGAATTATTCCAACTGCTTAAAAGAAATTCTCCAACTATATATTGTAACTGTATACGAAATTCGGATAAAAATACCATACTGTTTTACCGTCATGTGATAATGGTTTACCAAAAGTTCAGGTTTTCATAACCATTCAGAGAATCATTCCGAGTAAAATAAGTTGTATTTTTTAGATACTTTGTATGCAGTTAGAAATTATGAAAATACTCCATATAAAGTTAGTATTATTTTGTTTCGCATCACTAATAGCAAACTTTGATTGCTGTATTTATCTTTATACGGTTGCCAAGTAACTAAACTTGAGAAAAGTACGTAATAATGTTTTAGTTCCTCTACCGTGATTTTTCAAACATCGAAAACTTCTATACGGTGAAAAAAATTCTGGTAAAATTACCGCACTGAATAGTAACGACATTTCTGGTAAGAGAAAAAAACATAATTCTGGCAATAAAATCAAACATTTAAACAATCCATTTGGTTATTTTTCCATTCATATGATTGAAGTTTGCCGGAAATTCTGGTTTTCAAAATTATAGTTCGTATTATCATACCTTTAGTATAATTTACAAAACTGGAAAGTAAATTTAACCGAACAAATGTCTTTTACGCCGGGCTCTAAGGTATCATGTTAAAATTACAACATTTTACCCCGTTTAGCTGATTTTATCACATATTTTAAAACCATATTTTATTGTTAATTTTTTTAAATTCCTTATCAAAGCTTTTCGGCAAACATTTCCGCTATTTTAGGACCTCCCATTGAGCCTGAAACAATTTACATTTTACCATATTCTAGTAGTTTTGCGCATACGTTTGATCTCAGTGTAGAAATACTTTTTTGTACACTTTCATAAGATTTAAAATTTCAATGCATTGTTATTTTTTAACAATTTATAGTCTAAGTGAACTAAAGTGAAATCTAAAAATAAATTGCGAACCACACTTTATTTGTTGGATTAAACCGAAAGGCCATAAATTGAAAGCTGCCGATCAAGTTCTTCTAACAAATAAAATATTTTTTGATGTTTTTAACACTACTTGCTCTAATTAAATGTTGAGCTTCATATCATAATCTCATGGAGATTGTTTACAGTGTCTTAACTTTAAATAAATGGGCAAATGAAGCATGTAGAAATGCAAACGAACATGAATGAAGTTTAATTCATGATTTCTGTACTTAAATAAACTTACTAAACTAATTTAATTTACTGAAGATATCTTGTCTTTGGTTCTAGATTTTTAGATGCTTATATGTTTAAAAGTGGAGTAACATTGCAACTGAAATTAATCCATACTAATAACTATTTCAGTTGGAAAAGGTTTCATACTGAAATACGTTTATTCATTATTCATATGTTTTTTTTAATTATTTCAATGTATAAGCACTGGTTTTTTTTATGAATATTTTGTTCAACATTTCAAATAAATCAAACACAGAAGCGTCGATCACATTATCCCCTGTAGGGACAATTTTGTAATTTATAAATAAATGCAACTATTATTAATATATATTTCAATGTATATCTGACAAAGAGACCTTGATAAAATTACCCGTAAAATAATTAATATATCTCCAAAAATATAGTTTTTTCAATTAAATATTTCTAACTTTGAAAACTGAACTTAAATATATCAATTTAAATATATTAATTTTCATTTATTTTAGGACCGAATTAGTCTAGTTGGTTGGGCTAGTACTCGTGAGAGCGTAAGTTCGAATCCACCGGCCGAAGACTCCTCGTGTATTAAATGGTCACTGGCACGCGTTAAATCTTTCGGGGTCACAAAGTCCTCAATGTTCCCACAACGAATCAATACTTCTGGAGGTACTGAATTACAGATGGATCGTTCTGATCATACTCTGATTCAGGTCAAAATTACTATCTATGGATGAATGGATGGTGTATAATTCGGTCCACCCTGTAAAAAGGGCTGTGACTGGTGTGTGACGGAAGTCATATTCTTGAAGTCAAGTGGTGCCACTTAAAAAAAACAAAAAGCAAAATTTCTGCTTCAAAAATTCACTTGATTTCAATTGGGATTGCTGGTATTACCAAGTGGAATAAATAATAACAGCAAATCTATTTTATTCACGTAACTGAAAGAAAAAGAGAAAACTAAAGGGTCTCCGGTATTATTCAACTTTCTCTTACAGTCCTTAAATCTCTTGAAAATCAAACAACTTTTACAATTTATTCATTTCAAATACTGGAACTAAATAGCTTCGCAGACGAGAAAGAAGCCGGTAATTAAATTAAAAGAATGTGGAAATTCCATTAAATATTTGCCTTAACCATTTTGTTCTCAAAGTTAACATTAGGCAGCACTTTCAAACATTTCCGCTGATCGACGTGAAGGCAGAGGGGTAGGGTGCATATGGATAAGTCTTTCCCCTCTTTTAAAAGTGTTCGCCCTAATAGAACTGCCTATTTTAAGCTAAATATCTTTTCTCTGAAGCATTGATTTTTCATTACACGCGACTGTATACCCAAGACTAATGTAATGTCTGCAGCATTTTCAATAGAAAACGAGTGAGAAACTAGCAACAGTTTTCAAAAATTTCGTAAAAATGAAAATAAAACACTTTTGAAATTCGATTGGTTTGTATGCTTTATACACTATGCTTTACATATTTCTAACGTTTTTAATGGTTCGTTTAATCGCCTTATAAGGGAATGTAAGTACATTTAATGTAAATTAAATTTGATTTTCCTCTTTAAATATTTGAGAAATTTCCTTTGTAATGACTAAACTGAAGTATTTTAGAAAAGTATTAAAACTGTCATAAGTTTTCAAAATGTATAGTGAAATTTAAGCGTTTGAGACTGAGAATATTCTTTTTTTTTTATAAAATATATCATTAAAGTGCTTTCAGTATTCGAATGCTAAGAATTGGAATAATTTAAATATGAATTTTAATTAGTTTGTTTTAATAAAAAATGGTGAAAATTGCTAGCTTGCGGATTTGCTTTAGCAATTCAATATTACCGAAATAAAAACTGCCAAGTCACAGGAAAGGTATAAGAAAATAAGTAAATAAGTAAAATAAGAATAATTAATTCATTAAAAATAGAGCGACTTAACTAAAACAGCTTAACCATGTAACGAATCCAACCAACTTTACCCCCCCCCCCCAAAAAAAAAGAAAAAGCGAAAAATAAAAGCGAAAAATTTGTGACTGCAGATCTATAGTACCGGAAGAATAGTGTTACAGATAATTGTAAATAACTCTGCAACTTTACATTGCAAAATATATACATAAATGTCACATATAAAAAATATTTTAGATAGAATAATAAACTCCCAAACTAAAATTCAAATTCAAAGAAATTAAAATAAGCAATGAAAATACACCAATTCGCAACGGGCATTTATAATTTACTATACTAATTACTAAAATTAATAAGCCTTAGGATTTGGCAGAAGTATTGTTTACCAAATTTAGTAAATTTTATTATTAATTAATTACAAAACTAGTATTGAAAATTGAGGTTTATCTAATTAATTTTTATATTTGTACTTATATCCTTTTCAGGGAATACCAGGATTACCTGGCCCACCAGGGGCAGTAGGTCCAGTAGGATTACCGGTAAGATATATACTTTTATTTTAAAAAAAGTCTTTGTTTTTATTGCTTGATTCTAAAACAGGTTTGTTTTTGCAATTGGATATTCTGCACTTATTAAACTTCAAAAGTGACGATTTTAAGTAATGATTACTGAAAGTGATAATTTTTAGTTTTAAAAACTTAAAATTTGTGGCTGAGCTTAAGAATAAGTTTACCAGAATTCACAATAAATAGCTGTGCAACCTTAATTTACAAATTATAAGCTAAAATTAAGATTGAAAACAAATTTTTAAAGTATATCAAACTATCAATATCTATCTATCTATCTATCTATCTATCTATCTATCTATCTATCTATCTATCTAT